GTCGATCGCGCGCTGTCCGAGCTCCTTGCCAGCATTGCCGACATGCGCCCGGACTTGTGCCCACAATTGTATGGTCTAACATCTCTTGCGGGCAGCGGAGTCCAAGTGATGGACGACGAGCCATCGGCGTCAGGTCCCGTCAGTCGCCGACAGTCGTTTATTGCATACCAACCGTTGGAATCTCGGCGCTCTGGCAGCGTTATGCTTTCGACGGCTGCGGCGGTCTCGTCCTCTGCTGGACATCACACCGCAGCATCTTCCTTCTCCAGCTCGGCGTCCTTCCGCTCATCGGCTGCCGGTATCATAGCCATTCCCACGACGATCGATTCTGGGCTGCAGTCTGCACCACCCACCCACGTGCGCGACAATGTTCCACTCGTGGAGTCTCGCTTTGGATCGCTGCGCCAGCACGACGCACCTCGAAGCTCCCGCGATTTCCACTATGTGGTGGTGGGAAGCACGGCGTCTGCTCACATTCGCTCCGTCCAACAGCACCGCGTGGTCCCCGGCGGTCGAGTTGCCGCTGGGGCGAGTATGATTTCCGTTGCCAGCGTTCGTTCCCACGCTCCATCATCATTGCAGGTTCCCGGAGCGGACGTGCCCGTCCCAACGGTCACAACCAGCGAGGAGGTGCCTGCTCTCCTTTCCGAGCAATTCCACGCCGTGTACGCTCAGCACCGCACAAGCTTCTTGCACATTTCCATTCGTCCTCAGTCTGTGACCATCTTCTTGTACAATTGGACACCCAGCGCGCGCGAGCGTTTCTCAAGCGCCTTCCTGCGTCTTGCCTCGTGGCATCACATCCGCTCCCACACCCTCTCGCATATTTTGCATCAAAAGATGGGCTTGTTTGCCCACTGCTCAGCCAGCGCCCCGCCGCTCGAGCTGTCGACGACGCTTGCGACCACCGAGCCGTCCGGCTCACAAGGCCAATCAACCAATGTTGCTGCGTCTGGGTCTGGATCCGGTCTGAGCAGCAGCGGCGGCTCGGCGACTTCCGTCATTCCTGGAAGCAACGCTCGTCTCACGCTCGAAAACGTTGAAATCCTCATGAGCAGTACAATGCCTACGCGCCGAGCCGCGGATACAGTGCTCAACTCGTCCTCGTCGGGCTCCATGTCCACTTCCTCCCCTTCGACTACAGCTGCGTCGCCCAGCAGCGGCACAAACAATTCGGGTGCGTCCTCTGGTGGCTCACAACCCACAGGGTCAGTTACTCCGGGATTCCGGCCCGCGCACTTGCAACGTCGCTCTGGACCTGGCGGTCAAGCACCTACAGCAGCCTCCTCGACGACCTCGACGCCCTCCTCCGATGATGCCGAGCAGCGCCAGCGACGCCGTCTGGCAGCCATGGCGTCGTTTGAGCTCGTGCTGAAGAGCATTGTACCGACCCATCCGATGCATCTCACCAACGTGAGCACTGTTTCCGACCCATTGACGCGCCACGGCTTCCAGTTCCTCGAAATGTCAGCTGCATTGAACAGACAACTCCAGCGACACACACGCATGCGTGAGCTCTACCAGCGCTGGATTCGACGCGAACGCTCTGGACCACCGAGTTCTTCGTCGTCTGGTGCCGGCCCAAGCAGTCAATCTGCGCAGGCGTCCGCCGAGGATCAGCGCAAAGCTCTGGCGAGCAATGTGCGCATCATCAAACGTGCCTCGCGGCTCGTCCATTTTTGCCGCAAACCTTTGCTGTTCAGCTCGCGACGCAAAACCCTGATCCAAGACGATGGTCGCCCGCTTGCGCCGACAGGACCAAGCGCATTGTCTACTGCTCCACCAACGTCAAGTCTGCCTACAGCCCAATCCGGACCGACCGGTTCGACGCCTGTTGCGCGCCAACGAAGCGCTGACGGTGTCTTTGAGGGCAAAAGCGGCGCGAGTGCTCAGCAAGCTCTGTCTGTTTCTTCGTTTGCCTCGAACGAATTGGCCGCTCTTGCGGCTACAGAGGCTGACCAGCGATGGTACTTGGAAATGCTTGCGCGGTTTATCAAGCAGTATGTGTCTTATTTGGAGTCACTTGGATTTTCCCTGATTGGGGTTGTCGACAATGCTTCCAGCGGTGATGCAACTTCGTACGCTTCGCCAGTGCAACACGCGCACTCTCAGAGCCCAGCTGCCTCTTCGCCTGCCGGATCGTCGCCTGCTGCTGCTGCTGCTGCTGCTGCTGCTGCTGCTTCGCCTTCTGCGTCGAACTCGAGCAGCAGTTCGTCGCTGGTGATTGGGTTGAGCAGCCGACGACAGACATCGCGCTCGGCACAACCACCCGTCACTGCGACCAACCCACCACTCTCGTCCGGCTCTTCTAGTGGCAGCACGTCTCAGGTTCGGACGAGCAGCGAGCTTCTGTCCGCCGCAGTCGCACAAAACCCTCTCGCACTTTTGACCTCGAGTACCTTTTTGCAAAAAGTGTATTCTGGCGGCATGGTGCTCGTCAAGGTATCGTTCCGAGATGTCTTTGTCTGCATCAACATGTACGCCACGGAAGGATCCCGCATGCGGGCTATCCAGCAGCCATTTGCTCCGATGACTTCCACTTTCAGCGACAGCATGCAACAGGCCATGTATGCCTCGCAGACCTCATCGCAGCAAGCCAACAAGCTGGCGAGCAGCTCCAGTTCCACGTCTGCCTATGTCGTCTCCCTTTCGGGAAAGGCAGCTGTGGAGCAATCGCGAAAATTCACCGAAGAGTGCGCCCGTCTCAAGGATTACCTGCACATCAACTCGTTCACTTACGATTTCCACCTGCGCTATTTCCAGCAATTTATCGTGGACAGCACGTTGCGCTATCCTTCGCTCCATCTCTTGGATTTGCTCCAAGACTTTATGGCACTGAATATGCCGTCCACCTTTGCCCGGAACCGGATTTACAAGGGTGCTGTGGCGCTCGACCCGAACATCTCCTCGCCCGACGAGTTCTTTGCGTTTATTAGCCGTCGTGCGTCGCATTACGGCTTTTACTCGCTTGACGAGCTATCTCTTATTGCCGATATGAATGGAGCTGTGCCGTCGTCGTCGTCGTCCTCGTCTTCTCCAGACGCCATCTTTTTGCTCTCGCGCAGACCCGACCTCGGTCTTGGGGAGCTGCAGTCGCAAGCTTTGACTCCAGGAGGGAGACCGTCCGCGGCCGACTCGCGTCGTCCAACAGGCGCGATCGAGTTTTCTTCGCAAGGCGACTACGACTACTTGCTGCTCGTATTCCCAGAGGATGGCAGACTTGCAGCCACTGCTCCGGCGGAATTGAGACTGTCGACGGTGGCCAATCGCGTGACTCCGAGGGCGTTAGACGTTAGCCCGATCACAGGGTCGTTTACGGATGTTGATGCGCGTAGCTTTACTCTGAATTACGTTCTCCTGGCGACCAATGTCCGCACCACGTTCCCGATTTTGAACTGGCAGGCTGCCCAAGCGTCGGCGCCATCCACGGCGGCTGCAGCGGCTGTGTTAGGAGCCCTGCTCAACCGCTCCACCGCTGGTGCAGCCGACGATCGCGCGCCGTCCCCCATATTCTCGACGGCGCGCCCGACTGGCAGCCCCTCCCTGCCAGCCAACAACCCGCTCTTCTCTCCGCTTGTACCCCGCATTCAAGATGTTGTTCGCTCGGCGCTTTTGCGTCTCGATGTCCTCATCCACCAAGGGCCGTCTGCACCATTCGCCGCGACACTGCGTGGGAGGCTCTTCGTCAAGGCACCGAAAAGCCCAACAAGGCAGGCCTCACGGCGACCGAGTTTATGCGGCTGATGCAGCTGAGCCAGCGCGAGGACTTTGCACTCACCGACCCGACCGTTGCGAGCGTGCTTTGCATGCCTGTTCCGTGGGAGAAGGTGCTTTCTTCCGTCGTCGCCAGATTCGGCAAGGACGTGCGAGACATTCTCACCGACACGTCCATCTCTCCGCCCGTCCCTGCGTCCAGCGTCAATCTGAGTTTGGTGCCCGTGACTCCAATGCCCGAGTCTACTCGCACGGCAGAAGGCATGTTGTCGTCGTCTGTGGCTGCTGCTGCCCAGTTGGCTGTCCCGCCGCAGCGGCGCATGTCTAGCAGTGGCCCCAGTGGCGGTGCCGGTAGCAGCAGCGGCGGCTTTTTTGCGTCGCTCGGATTTGGCCGCAAAACACCAGTCGTCCCTATCCCAACGGCCACGACCGCGACGGTCGAGGTAGCCACCGGCCTGACCTCCCCGCTGGCAACGTCCGTGACGTCCGCAGGGCTTGCATCACCTCTGGCGCCGCCTTCATCTGTCATGTCCAACACGATGGGCTTGTCTGGGTCCTATGTGACCACGTCGTATGCTCCAGGGTCGACGTCTGGCGCAGTCACGCTCTCCAGCAATCCAGTGCCTGGAAGCGGCACGTCTGTTCGCCACGTCGTGCTCCTGAATCCGGCATTTGCCGACGTCTTGCTGCACCTCCAACACGATCGTGTGGCGCGCAAGTTCTCCATCACCTTTGTCCATCGCGAGGAGCCTGTTTCCGACGACGCCCGCGCGAGCGAGTTGCAGCATGCCGCCAGCGTCGTCAATGTCATTTCCACCCTCATGTGGACGCTCATGCTCAATGACTAGAAATGTGAGCCGATGAGTGTTTTTTGTACTTTTTGTATATCTTTTCTGAATGTTTATTGATTTTGATGAAGGTAGTTGTCATATGGCTGTGCAAACGCTCGGATCGGATGGTTGGGTGGTGATGCGAGAGATGCCAAACCAATGCACACTCAGGGGTTTTGTTATTGGGGGACGAGACTTGGAGGAAGGGACAGGACAGAAGCAGCAGCATCTGAGCTCGAGTATCACAGCACTCTTTGATGTGACCACTTTATCCTATTTTGTTTGACTGCTCAGTTCTCAGATTTTCCACTTTCCCCCCATTTTTGGCACCATGTCGCACATCATGTCTGGCTGGGTGCAGCGGGAGGAGAGCGGCCTGGTCAAGTCGTTCAAGCGGCGCTGGTGCGTTGTGCAAGACACTGCTGTCTGCGTCTACAAGGACGACAAGGACGTTCTGCTGCAGTTTGAGCACCAGCAGCCACCGCTGGACGTGCTGTTTGCCGAGGACATTACCAGCGTGCAGCCGCTCGTCAGCCAGCAAGGGCAGCAGTTTGGCTTTGAGATTGGCACGTCGCACGGCGCCACCCTCGCACTCCGCTGCAGCGAGGACGAGCACAACGAGTGGATGGCTGCAATCCGACTCCTCACTCGCCGCGAGAAGCCCATCGCAGTCGCAGGCGCTCCCGTCATGGACTTTGTCACCATCGAGTGCTTCACTCTGCGCGGGATTCGCGTCGACGGTTCCATCGAGCCGCACATTCTGGCAGTCCTCAGCGACTTTGACGGGCGTCCCATCGACCCTGCCAAGCGTGCCAAGAAGATTGAAGATGTCCGAGGCTGGTAAGGAATTTTTTTGGGGAAGAACGAGGAGGGGGCGGCGTTGAGATTGTTGAGATTGTCGAGGTTGAGATTGTCGAGATTGTCTGAGATTGTCTGAGATTGTCGAGATTGTCTGAGATTGTCGAGATTGTCTGAGATTGTCTGAGATTGTCGAGATTGTCTGAGATTGTGTGAGATTGTCGAGCTTGAAGGTGGCCGGTGGCCGAGCTTTGGCCGAGATTTGGTTGTGATTTGGTTGTGATTGTTGACATTGAAGATTTTCGCGGGTTTTGGAGGCAAGCGTTGTTGTTGCCGCTGCTGGTGAATGAGTGGTGATGGTCAAAGTCTTCCTTGCGCGCGATTTCTACGCACGATTGCTCTCTCACATTTGCTCAAACAACAACACTTTGTGTGACTTTTTTGGTGCTTTTTTTGCAGGTTTTGCAATAGATTTGTCGCTCTCCCAGACGTCCTCAATCTCATGACACAGCACGAGTGGCAACTACAAAGCTGCGCTGCGGCCGAAAGTCAGACGCCAACGGATAAGGCTGTGGTGCAATGCCATCGGCTCGTCTTCCACCGCCCTCGATTGCCTTCGCCTGCACCTGCACCAGCACCTGCTACTTCACCAACCGGGTCGGCATCCTCTTTCCCTAGTGTTAAACGATAGAGCGTGTTGCTATGTTCCGAGCTACCAACTGGTTTGGCCCTTCTCCGTTTTGTGTGTAGATTGCTTTTGTGTTTGTCGTTTCAGCTCCAAGTACTTTGTTATTTTTGCCACAAGTTGTTTCCGCATGCAAGGCCTGTGATACTCGGAGCTTGTTGCACCACACAATTGCCACAAGTTGTTTCCGCATGCAAGGCCTGTGATACTCGGAGCTTGTTGCACCACACAACAGCTCCACAGTTGCTCAGAAGTTGCTCCACAGGTGCTCAGAAGGCTGAAATTTCAAAACCCAACAACTCGACTCGTAGTTCACCTCTCTGTGTTTCGTTTCGTTCGTTCATTCATTCTTTTTTTTCTTCTTCTTTTCTTTTCTCCCATCGTTATCGTTTCACTATGAGCGATTCTGCAGGTGGAGGTGGCGGCGGCGGAGGAGGTGGTCCGCCGACAACCCCAACCAAGCAGCCGTTCCATCCACACGCCCATCACCACACTCACAACCACCATAATCACCATAGTCACCACAATAACCACCACCAACACCACCACCATCACCATCATCATAGTAGCAGAGGCGGTCAGCAGCCAAGCACTCCAACCAAGCAGTACCCACCGTCGTCGTTTGCAGCCAGCTCGCCCGTCGCCGTTGCTGGTACTGCTACTGCGACTGCCAATGTTAATGCTGCTGCTGCTGGACATGGTGGCACGACCACTGCAGCGATCGCGTCGACTCGGCGGCGCTTCTTGCACTCGTTCGAGCCAGAGTCAGCAGCCTCGGCGTCCAGCAGCGGCGGCGGCGGCGGCGGCACCACGCGGCACTACTTGAATCCGTCCATGTCTATGGGCAGTGTTGCTAGTGCTGGTGGCGGCGGTGCGGACGCTGCAGACGCGGTCGACGCTTCACTCGCGCCACTCATCTCAGTCTCGTTCGACCCGGCTTCAGCCGCCGCCGCCGCTGCTGCTGCCGCCGCTGCTGCTGCCATGGCCATGTCCTCGTCGTCGAGCTCGACCTCGTCGGTGACCACGGGCGCCGTCGGGGCTGGACTGCCGTTCGCGGGCGCTGTCACTACGCCGCCTGCATCGCTCCAGCAGCAGCCGGCGTCGTCGTCGTCGTCGTCGCAGAGATTGGTGCTGGACAATGTGACGCTGAGCGAGATGCACACGCTGCGGACATTCACTGTGACGAGCCTGGTCGCAATGCCCGTGATGGTCCGCCTCGCTTCAACGCTGGGCAAGCAAATCCACTTTCAATCCAACAATGAGAATCTGCTGCAGGACGGGTCGACCAAGCCAGTGACCGAATGCAACGTCCTGTTCAACCATGTCGACATTGTCGATCAAGTCGTGCTGTCGCCGTTTGAATCAAGGCGGCTCGTGCTGGCGTTCCAACCAGAGGCGCGTCGCGGCGAGGCGTCCAGTAGTGCTGCGGTCGCGGACAGCGATCGCGATAGCATCAACCTCGAGGCATACAAGTCGTTTGATATCTCGGGCAAGTTGCTCTTCACCAGCAGTCTGCTGTTGCCCGACCTGATTTCTCCAGAGCCCTCCGTGCCGCCATCGCCAACCAGCATTTCTGGGTCGTCGTCGTCCTCGCACGCATCGACACATCCGCCATTGCCTATCGTTGGTCTCAACAGCGACGTGACGGGGGCTCCCGTCAATCTTCAGTCGGATACAGTGCCTCGACAACTCACAGTCCGGTTTCGTGCTCATGTGTGCAAGTCGGTCTTTCGCATCGATCTGACCGACCGCGAGCTCGCGTTCGACGACTGCGTTGTGGGCGGGGCCTATGTCAAGGAGTTTACTGTGTGGAATCGCTCTGACATTCCCGTGACCTTCTTTGTGACCGTTTCGACCGAGCGAGGCGAAAGTGTCATGTGGCATCCTGGTGTGCCCGCTCTCGAGGGCGCGAGTGCCAATGCTGACCATTCGCTCAGCAAAGCCACCACCAGCAGCAGCAGTGCGATCGGCAGCAATAGCCACAACAATAGCACGAACAACGGCGGCGACAGCACGGAGGGATCGACTCTCTCGGCTTCCACATCGTCTGATAACTTGAGTGCATCGCAATCGTCCGAGCAACTCAACAGGGATGGCCAAACCGCGCTCGGCAAGACTTTGGTTGAGCCCACATCGACCGCGACCCAAAACGCGGGCATGGGTTCTCGTGTGCGCTCTGACACGGGCTCCTCCTCACTCGGCGACGAGCAGCAACCAGCCCCGGCGTCCTTGCAGCTTGCCAGTGGCTTCCTTGTCGAGTGCACCGAGTACGAAACGGGCCTACCATTGCAACAAGCGACACTGTTGTCATTTTCGCAGTGTCGCGTGCGCGTCGCCTTCAAGCCGCGGCAAGCAGGCCAGGCCGATTTTGTCATCCTGCTCGAGAATGCACTGGACTCCAGCAATACCGCAAGCATTGCTCTGCACACGCACACCACCCTGAGCAGTCGCGAGACGAGCTTGGAAATTCTCGGCAATTCCAATTTGGATTTTGGCGATTGTTACACGGCCATGCCCTGCATGCGCATTGTCACTTTGCGCAACAGCACCGACACAAGCATGGATGTTGACTTTCGTAGCTGCCTTTCCAAGGAAATCTCTGCGCACTTGTTCACGCCCCCTGCAGACATTTCCGAGCAAGATGTGGTGCTGGCCATCAACCTCATGTCGCAGCAACAGCAAAACGCCCTCGTCCGCGACCCGCTTCCTGCGCTGAGCTCTGCGACCACGGTCGCCCAACGGCATCGTCGACAACACTTGTCCCAGCTTTTGCTTCAGCTGCTGTCTGGCAATCGCGAAGAGAGCCAGCGCATTGAAGAGTGCAACATTCCACCCGGTCGTCACCAACACGTTGCCTTGCGGTACATCCCAACAACGGTCGAGGTTGCCACAACAACAACAACGGGAGACGGCGATGGGGATGCCAGCAATAGCAACAGTGGCAGCAACAGCAGCGGCAGCAACACTGGCAACAACAGCACCAACACCAATACTAGTACCGGCAACATGAGCAACAACAGCACCACAGTCACTAATAGTGGCAGCAATGCTTCAAACAACGCATCAGGGCAACCCACGGGTGCGGATACTGTCACCTCGAGCTCCGGAGCCCCGGCCGGTTTGGACGCAAGTACCACCGCCATTCCCGCAAATCCTCCAGCCGCCTCAACGCGGCTGACGCGACGCACTTTTAGGTTGCTGCTCCGTGGTCTCGATGCCAACGACGTGGAGCTTGAACGGCGGACGCTGCATTGCCGATCCCGCGTGTGTCAGTCACGCATCAAGCTCTCGCGAAGCTCAATCAACTTTGGCGATTCGGATGTTGGAACTGCTCAGATGGTCGATGTGCAAATAACCAACTTGTCTGATTTGCCGGCGCGCATTCAAGTCCGGTATCAGAGCAAGATTATCACATGTCGCACGGACGTCATTGTGATTGCTCCTCGGCAGGTCCAGGACTTGCGAGTGGCCATCTGTCCCCGGAAGGTCAATCCAGAGTACCGCAAACAGATCACCGTGTCCAATCTTTGCAACCGTGAAGACAACCAAGTCCTGAGCATTGCCTCCAATAACGTTGATCAGCACGGCGTTACCTTCCACTCGCTCTTCTACACTGTGCAGACTGGATTCCCGAAGGGCGCCATCCACTTTGAGAATGTGGTGGTCAACAGCCCCGGCCTTCGCGTCATGGTGATTCGAAATATCACAGACAAGCCAGTGACCCTCCACCTCACATCGACCTGCCCTGGAGACATGGCGGCGTACATTCCGGCATCGCTTCCCCAACCTGTGGCGAGCGGACTGGCGGCATCATTTACCCCGTCCTTCCACATTCCCGCACCGTCCATTGAGGTGGCAGCCGCAGCCGCCGCCGCCTCCTCGGAGGCCAACACCCAAGGTCGCAAGGTTCCTGTTGGCACCGTTCTTGCCCAAAAGCCGCAGTCTGAAAAGAAGGAGCAGTTTCTTGAGCGGGTGGAGGCGCGCCGCGCGTTCTCGAGCAAACTAGACCGCGGTTTTTCGTCTCAGCCTTCTCAGCAAGCGTCGCAACAGCAACAGCAGCAGCAACAGCAGCAACAGCAACAGCAACAACAACCTTCACACAGCAGCAACAGCAACAACAGCAGCAACAACAGCAGCAGCAACAGCAGCACCAACACACGTCAACGCTCCTTTCTCCTCAACCCCAGTCCCATCCCGCCCAGCAAGCTCACTCAACAGGCCTGGAATTGAGCAATGCGACTACTACTTCACCGCAACCGACACCGTTGGATGCTTCTCAAACGCTACCATCCACGGCAACAGCAATGGCTTTGGATGGAAATGCGACTGTGCTTGGTTTGCGGCGTGGTTCGGCAAGCCAGCGCTCCTCATTCCGTCCGCCACCTCGAGACGCCGAGATTGGGTATCCTTTGAAAGCATCTGCTACAATTTCTGGCAGCGACCCTGCCTGGCAGCTCTTTTTCGAAGAACATCGTCTGGCCCTGCTCGATTCGACGATCGATTTGCACTCGACGCGGCTGAGCCGGCCCACTCCCTTGTCGGCCATCGCCACCACAGCATCCGAACCTTCTGTTACGCCCATTGCACAGTACCTTGATTTGGCGGCTCCCATCGCCGCTATTCGCAAGTACCAGGACGCCGGGACAATCTCGCCTCGAACATGGCTGCATGAGCGAGCCGGGGACACGGACGACAATTTTGCTGATGAAGAAGAGTCTGGACGATTGAGCGCCGGCAAGAGCTCGAGTACCAAGAATCTGTCTACCGCCGACGACGCGCAGCTACTCCAACGACGGCTTGCCGCTCTCGCTGACGCTGTTGGGTCGACCGCCCCACCCGGTGAATCAAGCGCTGGCACCACTGCCCGGACACACTCTGCCTTCTCCGCCCTTCCGTCTCGAGCCGCGAGCAGCGCAGCAACAGGCGCAGCAGCAGCAGCATCAGCAGCATCAACGTCATCAGCGACAGGGGGATCTGCTCATGGAGGTCTGTTGCCTGATTCGAGTGCTGTCTCCGAGGTGGAGGCCGCAAGCTTCATGTCGTCTACACCTGCGTCCACCGCACCCTCGACCTTTGGTGCCATGCCGGCCACTCGCACGCTTGATGACCTGGCGAAAGACTTTGAAGAACGTGCAACCATGGCTGGAACCTTCACCAACCCTTCTCTCGAGGAGGAATACATCCGCAAGCAGTTTGCACTGCGTCGCGAGCTGGAAAAGGCCGTGCATGATCGCCGTTTGGTTCGCTGCTCGTTTCTCGACATTGCCCCAGAGTCTCGCGTGCGTGTCTTTGTCATCTTCATGCCGACCTCGCCCTCTCTTGTCGCAAAAGTGACTGGCAAACTCAAAAACGTCGAGGAAAAGATTTTCATTCGCTTGGTTCGTGCAGACACCACTCGTGTCTTGACCTCCTTCCGTCAGCCTAGCGCCCTTATCGAGACGTATTCTGGCATTTACGAAACCGGCGGAAGTGCGGAAAAGGCTTCTCCGGGCAGTTCCGCTGCAGCAGCGCAGTCTTCTTCGGCGGCAGCTGCTCATCACCAGCTCGCGAATCTTGGAGCCACCGCGAATGAAGCATACGACAGCTTGAGCCTGCGCATTGATGGTCGCCCGTTGCCTGTTCGTGAAATCCCGACGCACGCAAAGCTGTGTCGATCGACCATCCACGTCACACAAAAGCACATCAACTTTGGCTCCCTGATGCGGAACGAGCAGCGAGCCCGTTCCCTGCACATTCTGAACGGCGCTTCAGTCCCCTTGCTCTACCGCATCCAGCGAAATGGGTCGGTTGCGTCGAGCGACTTGGGCTTCAGCGAAGGCCGTTTGGGCGTGATTGTGCCGTTTGGCAGTCGAGATGTGAACTTTGTCTTCCGCCCCACGATGGCAGGTCGATTTGATGAGCCGGTGACCATCGAGAACGTTCAAGATCCGGCCAATTTTGTGGTGCTGCAATTCAAGGCGAACGTCAAGCGAGCCCCGACATTCTCACTCAAGACGCGGCGCATTGACTTTGGCGCGGTCATGTTGAATCTGCTTTCTCAGGCTCATGAGGTCATCGTGACCAACACGTCGACCAAACTGCGCACGTTCAAGATCTCCTATGATTCGTCTCGAACGCAACAGGTCGTGCACCAACCGGCGGATGATAGTAATGCCGCGGCCCCTGCTGCTTTGGTTCCATCCTCCGCGTTCACGTCTCGCGTTTGGTTTGAATTGGACCTTTCGTCTGGCGGTATCAGGTTCACCAAGGAGACCGAGGAGCAAATCGAACAGATTGAGCAAAAGATCAAGATTGCTGCGACCAAGAAAAACACTGTCAAGGTGAAAAAACTGACGAGTAAACTCGAAAAGCTCAAGTTTGGGGACCATCCGCCGCTCTCAACGCAGTCATCCATCGGCGGCAATCACGAGGACGACAACGCCTCTGCCTCTGACGTCTTGACGGACGACGAGGACGACACCACGACCGATTCGGGAACGCTGCCGCGGCACCAATCTTCCGCTTCTCGGTCAGTCTCTGTTACTCCTTCCACGGGCCCTGCTCATTCGTTGAAACCGCGGGTCGTTGAAAACGAGTTGATTTTTGTGGTCGAGCCTGGACGAGTTCAGCGGGTGCTTGTGTACTTTCGTGTGGAGCAGCGGCGCGATGCTTCCGCGTCCTCGCCTGTCACGTTTGTGGACGTGTCGTCAAGCTTGCTCGTCCACGAGCAGCGGAATGCCGACGTGTACAAGGAAGTATCCATCAAGGCGAGCGCTTGTTCCACGTTGGCCATTTTCACCCAGCGAGCGGCAGTCATCCGCCGAACCGCCACAATCGCTCTCGATGTTTCTGCTCCCAGCTCTCCGCTCGAGTATGCGAGTAGCTCGCACGCTGTGAAACCAACAGACGCCGGCTCTGGCGTGTCGTCGTCGCAGCCCCTGGCAGCGCGCAGCATGTCTGGTTTGTCAGAGCGTGATCCGTTGGATTCCCGCGCTTCCCTCTACGACGCCGGCACCACCGCTTCATCGTCGAAATCGTCATCCATTTCGGCGTCGCCCGCGGGCGGTGTTTCGGCCCAAAAGGACGCAATGTCCCCAGGCCCTTCTCCAATCTCTCCGCAGCTGGCCTCCACGCCTGGCAGCTCCCCACACGCGCAAGCGAACACAACCCCGCTGAATGCCCTCACCAGCGCTGTTCCTGCAGCAGACAGTTTGGGGCAAGAGCCGTTCACGCTCACTCCGTCGGCTTTAGGTACCGGCGACGTGCTTGTGCTTTCCCCGACAGAAATCTCCCTTGGCGAAGTTGACGTGAACTGTCCCACGCAGTCGTCCTTCACCATCACAAATACGGGCATGACGGAAGTTGTCTTTGTCATTTTGGAGCGACGCGATTACACCGCTTCCGCGATTGCGCCGTCGTCTGGGCACTTTACCATGTCGGCCTCAGCCACCCCGTCAGCTTGGTCGTTGCCTGCCTCGGCCCTGGCATCCCCAATCGGACCTTCTCCCCTGTTTTTGACGTCGTTCGGACAACTTGTCCCAACTTCACCCCCAGCCTCGAGTGCCGCTGCGATTGCGAGCGCCATTGCGACAAGTGCGGCCGCCGCGTCACCAGGGCTTGCAAGTGGCATTGCTGGAAGCGTGGGTGGCGTCACAGGAAGCGCTGGCGGATTTGCGTTGCCTCCTCTGGTAGCGGCCTCAAACAGCTATAGCGTCCCACCTTCATCCACTGGTGGTTCGGCAGTCTCGAATATGCCCACAGCGGTCGGCCCTTCCGGGTTCCGCTTTAGCACTCTGAATGGCTCCATTGCACCTGGGGAACAACGCGTCATCTCTTTCACCTTCCGACCCCAGATTGCAGGTCGTCAGCGCCATGTTGTGATCGTTCGCAACATTCACTCCAAGACCGAGTCCATCCTCACAGTGAACGTGACTGGTCGCCGTCCCCAGTATCTTCGCTTCCCCGAGCTGAGCACTCTCGCAGGAGGTACCGTCGCCGAGACTGCCAATCCCGCATCGAGCACCCCAGCTTCGCTTGTCAGCTCGGACAACGACCTCGTGTTTGATTGTGGTCTCTGCTACGTGGACCGATCTCAGCGCTTTTCCAAGGTTTTGCCGCTCACCGTTCAAAATTTGTCGTCCAAGCCGCTGGTCTTGCAATTCTCATCCAACCTGGCCAAGCAGATTTTCTTTTTCGTCGATGCTGCCGCGACCATCCCGGCAGAGGATGTGCCGTGTGCAGCAGAGGGCACGGTTGTTGTCCACGTTGCCATCCAACCTCAGCTCAGCGAACAGGGCCGGGAGCAAGGCGCTTGTCGCGAGCTCATTGGAGGCGTGAAAGTCAAAGCCTTCGAGTACACCCAACGCGGCGAACGCCCGCACAGCGCTCTGGAGCGCACGCCTTCTGGCGGAAGCGTCCCTCAAACACCAACTGCGATTCAACTGCCCGGAGCAGCTTCCGCATCGCCAGCAGCCAGCCTGGTCCTTGTGGTCGAATCTGTCGTCAAGCTGCGCGCTGTTGTGGGCCAAAGCGTTGCCAGAACGTCGCAAAATCTCCTCAACTTGGGCGTCGCATCGGAACTGGGCACCGTGCTCTCCGGCACATTTGTGCTCAGCAACGTTTCCACGCACCTTCCCCTGAGCTACGAGATTGTTGCGCCGAACAACATGACCGTTACCCCCGTGCAGGGAGTCCTCGCGCCTGCAGGCGTTGGTTACTCTGCAACTGGCTCTGCGAGCTCGAGCAACCTTGCTGGACTCCTTCCTGCTGCCGCGCAGCAGTCGGTTCTGCTCGAGTGCCGCTGCGACTCGTTTGGCTTTTACCAAGAGCGACTCCGCGTTGTCAATCGTCACCATCCTTCGCGTGAGTTGGAGATTGTCGTTCGCTTTTTCGTGGACGAAGGGCTTGTGGACACGGACTTGCCTGTTGGCGACCACGGCGTGCAGCTGCTCGACTTTGGCAATGTGTACATTTGTCCCGAGGACGCTGTTGGCCTCACGCGCGGCATGTCCAACCAAACCCCGTGGACGGTGCAACACCACATCTCGACGGACTTGCCCGAGTTGTCTGCGCGGACTGTCCATCGATTCCAGACCTGCATGCTGCTGAGCTCGCAGCCGGACGCATACCGCTTGCGGCCGTTGACGGATTTGAATTTGCAAGTCACCACGGACTTTGGAAAGCTGACGTCCAGTGACGAGGATGCCCTTCCACACCTCCAGCAGCTGCAAGGTGTGGCAGCCAATGCGCTGGGTCAGACGGACGTGCGTCCGTGCGGGCGCACGTTCACGCTTGACGGGCTTTCTGCCCTGCCTCTGAAGGTGACCTATCCACCGCCTCTCGAACTGAGCCGCAACAAGTGGGATCGCATTCTCGAGGGCGAGACGGTCGAGTACTATGGCATCTTGCTGCTCGAGCGAGTGGGACTGGACGCGAGTGGGCCACAGACGCCCGGAGCCCTGCGCTCTGCTGCTGAAGACTCGGCTCCTCAAGAGGCCGATCCAATGGCCTCCGCTTTGCCACTCGATTCCGCTGCGGCGCACGCCTCCACGGCCGACCGCATTGGACGGCAGATGGTCAAGGTCATTGAACTGCATTGCCAGTTTGCGCTTTCCGTCGGTCGTATCGAACGGCCCTCCGTCCATTTGGGCGTTGTCGGGTACCGCAATGCTTGGAAACCGGTCGACTTTTACTTTGTTGTGAGTAATCTCTCGGCCGTTCCGTTGTACTATCGAAGTGGGCCAATCTCCTCGTGCATTACTGTTGCAGACTTGGACACCAAGTCGAACGGGGTCGGATGCATTCCGGCCAAGTCCTCTCGCCGATTCGAGGCAACGCTCCATCCACGTTTGATCGCCACAGAGCGTGCTGGTTCCCAGCACTTTTCGATCTCGCTCGTCAACTTGAACAATCCCCACAACGCCATGCAGCTGTCCGTCGTTGCTCAAGTCACGCATTTCGAGTTGAATTTCGGGCATCTCAGCGCGACCGAGCCGCGTACCATGAGGCTCCCCTCTGTGGCCATTCCCGCCGTCACCGATGCGGCCGTCTGTGAAGAATGGATTTCCGTCCAAAACAGCGTGCCGTCCGACGAGAGCGTCAAGTTTAGCGTTTGGTGCGAGCTTTTGGAGCCGCTCCGCGATTGCCTTGATGCGCAGCTCCTCTTCCGCTTATCGACCCGGACCGTCAGTGAATTTTCCCTCGCGACTGGTGAATATTTAGAGATGCGCGTGCGGGCTACCGCTCGCTCCAGTCACCGCGCGCCGACTCGCGCTCTGCTGGACGCAGCTCGATTGGCTTGCGAGGTGGAGCGTAAATCCGCTGGTCTTGCCATGCCAATGTTGCAAGACAACGAGTTGGTCATCGGTTTCCTCAAGTTCCGATCCGTTCATGCGGATGCGATCGATTTGCTTCCCGCCGTCAGTGTCTGCATTGTTGGGTCTTTCGCGGCAAGCAAAACGCTCCTGTTAGCGCCCACCGCGCTCCAGCTTATTGCCCGCCCCCTCGACTATTCCGACGAATCCAACTCGTCCTCCGAGGGACATTCATCCTCGGACGACCACGACGACGAGAACGGCTCCGATTCCGACCAGGACTTTGGAGACGAGCGACAGCCATTGCAATTTGTGAGCGACTTGTATGACGATCTGCCAACAGGCTCCACTTCCAACCGACAACGGCGGCACGGTCTAGACCGGCGGACACGACGGGAAGAGCACAAGACACGCAAGCCACGGCGACAGCAGCCAATGTTGGTCCCAGCCAAACAAATTGAAACGGTTGTGCTGCGCAACCCTTGCGTCAACACGTCCGTGTTGTTCAGGACGGGTCGCATTCTCGTCAAGGGCGTCAACCAGCAACCAGATCAACGTCAGCAGTCCTTTGACGGCAGCGACAGCGCAGTCAGCCCTGCGAGCGACGCTGAGGATTCCGAAGCCAACCACCTCCTTCTTGTGGAGCCATCGAGCGGGGCTATTCCACCCGGCGCCACCATGACGTTGACCGTCCGACTGAGCGATGATTTTGACATTGAGAGCTCATTCGTGGTTGAGCTGCAAGTGCTCGACGTGCATCCTGACACGTCGTTCGCGGCCGTCCTTGAAGTCGAGATTGTGGCCCACAGTGATGCAGTGGCATCTCGCCTTCGGTTGCAGCATTCATTCGACTATGACGATGACGTCGACGTCAACAATCGCCTCGCGCTGCTTGACCGATCCGGCTCTGGCTCTGGGTCGAGTGAGCCTGGCGTGGCTCCAACAAGAGCGACCACCGACGTGGCAAGCCAACCACGCCGCTCGCTCAAGCACGAGCGCATGTCGGCCTTGTTTGCCCTCGGCGGTTCTGGAGGTTTCCATTCCGAGCCTTCTGCGCTTTTGGTGGCATCTCACCCCTTGGTGCTGTCCAACCAGCTGACCATGTGGCAGCAGCGTGGTCAGGAGCAACAGCCGTACGACGGTTCGCCTATAAACCACCGTTCATCTGCCCCAACGCGGCGTGCTTCGTCGGCAGGACGCAGCAGTGGCATGTCCAGCGATTCGATGGACGATTCCAACTCATTCCTTCTAGGGCGCACACAGTCGGTGCACTCTGTGATTGCTGAAGAGGATGGTGCCGCAATGCTCTCGACCTCGCCGTCCTCTGGCGCAGGCACGTCGCTCTCACCGGGAGCCTTTGTGTCTCGGCTGTACTCGAGAAAGCACACGCGATCGTCATCGTCCTCTGCCTTGATGATGCCCCTGAACCAGTCCGCGCGCCCGGACGGCGAGCTGGCTTCCTCACCAGGAAGTGCCGACCTGCTGCCTTTGCGCGCGAGCGGGGTCGAGTTGCTTTACTCGCGACGCGATCCTCTGGAGCTTTGTGCAACCTTCATCATGCTCCATCGATGTGCTCCAGTGATGGAAACCCACGTCAGTCAGTTCACATCAAACTTTGAGCTCGACTTGGGCCAACTGCCTTGGGACAGTGGGTCTGTTCAGCGCGAGTTTGTTCTGGAGAATTTGTCGTTTGAGCGCGTCGAGTATCGCCTGCGGCTGCTTCGTGCGGAGGATCGCCAGTGGCTCTCCCTTAGTCGAGTCGAAGGCGTCCTGGCTCCCAACTCGTTGCGCTTGACATCGCAAGACGCATCGCACACGGTCAGCATCACCGTGTCGACCTCGCGGCCTGGAGTGCAGACCACGTTTATCGTCCTGGACAACTTGACCAACACCCAAGACTTGAAAACCATCCGCGTGACTGCCGAGGTTGTCTTTGCCCTGGTTCAACAGACGGGCAAAGCTCAAAAGGCGCTGGCCGCGCCAGGTGTCAGTGGCGCTTCTGCCAACAGCGTACAGCCAGGCGCAGGCACCGCATCCGGCTTGGAATCAAAGTCGTCAACGAGCGCCGTCCCAGTCGGTGCTGGCGGTTTGGGCAGCAGCAACCTCGCAGGCCCAGCTGCCGCATCCTCATATTCCGGCGCAAGCATGTCCGGAGTCGTTGCTGTCGGTCCCAGTGCGATGGCTGTGCTCTTCCCTGCTCTGCCGTCCGGCATGGGCAGCCCAGCGGCGGCAGTCACCATGTCAACATCAACAACGAGCACTGCACTCACGCCTGCTGTGTCCAGCAGCTCGAACATGTTTTCTCATCCTCTGGCTTCAGCGAGTGTACCCCACAACAACGATGATGTTGCCTCCCCCATCTTGTTGCATGGCTCGATACCATCGTTAGAAGACGTTTCGACGCCAAACACGCTTCTTTCAGCGTTCGGCATCGCTCTCGCCGCTAACGATCCAGGCGCGCCAGCAAATTCCACGTCGTTGTCTGGGTCAGCTTCTGCCCAGTCGTCCTTGCCCAATAGCTCGCTTCTTCATTTGTCTCCTGACGCTCTGTTTACCATCACTGTCGAGGGATTGGATAACGGTCCTGCGGTCATCAACCTCGGCGATGTGTTCTACGGCCACACGTACATGTCACGCTCCTTTATCATCCAAAATCGCTCGGCCCTCCCGCTCGAGTTCCTGCTGTCGTCGAATTTGCCCTCTGATGACCCCACAGAGCTGGTCTTATCACTCGCTCGCTTGTCACCAAAGCTGTGCAAAACCGTTACCGTCGATCCGCAAAGTTTCGTGACCGTCTTTGTGCATCTCTTCCCGCAATCGCGTCAGACTGTCGATCCTTCTTCTGCAAGTTTCAACGAAGGCATCTGGCGTCAAATTGAAATTTGTAAGATGCTCGTCGTTGTTGTTATGCAGCGTCTGTCTCGGCTGACCTTGACTTGTAATTTTGCGTCTTTTTTGTGTTTGCGTTTGATTTGGGTGCACTCATTTGTTCAATTGTGTGTTTCGCGCAGCCATCAACTGCCGGCTGATCAAAAACTTCCAGCGGGTCGTGACGGTTCAGGCCATGATGCGACACCCTGCGTTCTACATGCCTGACCGCAGCTGCTTCTTCAAGGGCCGAATCAACACCGCCGGTGGCAGTGATGCCTTTGCCATCGATCCTTCGACAACGAGTCTCATTTTGGAGAATCGTGCCTCTTCTGCAGTTGGGTACGGTTTTTGGGTGTGATTTTTGTGTGATTTTCTGGTGTGATTTTTGCTGCCATCCTCTCATTTCCATTCACTGTTCAATGTTGGTGTTGATTCTGCGCTCATCCTCGGAATTTTCGTTTGTGTTCAACAGCTGTATCATTCGCAACGACACCATGTATTTTGATGTGTCGCTCCGCAACGAGTCCGCGGCCGTTCCCATGAATCGTGTCTTGATGCATTCGCTCGAGTCCAACTCGCTTTACATGCTCTGTATCACGTTGAAGCTGGACACCATCCGCGCCAATCTTCGGCAGATCATGGCCGTACGTGCATTTTTGACACAACTGTTTTTCAGATGCGATTCCTTGCAACTCACTCCTGTGCTTCTTGTTTGTTTCTTCCTTGCTGCCAATTCTTCCCAACACTAGGAAAAGTACTTGTATGAACACATCACCATCTACAATCGGCGCCGCTCCACGGAAAAGTACATCATTTCCCTGCGTTTGGCATTCGGTCACTTTTCCCAGTTCCATCGAGCACCGGGTCCTCGCAACTCGCACCTGTACTCGAGCCTGGAAGAGCACGTGGTCCGGTTTGTTGCAGCATTCAACTCGCAGCTTCGGCCCATTCTGCATCTTTGTGAAACCGACGTGAGCACCACGTCCGACCGCGCGACCGCTCAAATGTCCCGCAACCTTGCCACGTCCATGAATGTGCCTTCCTCCGGCACCAGCGCGTTGAACAAGTCTCGGACTGGCACATCCCCACGTCCCAGCTTCACTTCTCTGGACCAGTTCCAGCTCCAGCTTTTGCACGAGTCGCTGGAAGAGCAACTTCTCCTCGATTACGTGTACATTGTGGACGAGCTCGTCTTCACTGGCCTGAATAGCTTCTCGATTCACTTCTTGTTCCAGCTCGCAACGCTGCTGTTCAGTCTGTTGCTCGATCAAGAGGTGTTTACTGCACTGGGCCCATGCGCGCTGACTCACGGCGCCAGCGGACGTCGATGGCCCCCTCACCTTGCCAAATGGGTGGATGGACTTCGTATCTTCCTCACCTACTTCCCGTCCCAGGTGGATGCCGTCGCTCCATTGAGGCAGCTGGCCCGGCGTCTGATTGCCAGTCCGTCAGCTGCCGCCACGCCCTCAGCGCCCTTGTCATCTTCAGCTCATGTGTCTCACAGTAGTGCTGATGGTTCCTCGACCACCCGTTGAAGTGGACCCGATGAGGGGTGATCTTCTCTTCTGACACATTCCTTCTCCTGTAGATATGCGGAGCGAGTGGTCGTGTCGATGCTACTTTCATTTTACGACCTTGTGTACATTATACATTGACATTTTATTGACACTATTGGATCTCCATGCAAATTCCGTGACTATGACCATTGTGATTCGTGCTGTTCCTGTTGTTGTTGCTGTTGCTCATGTAATAGTTGCAGTTCTTGCTGTTGCTGCAGAATTGCTGGTGGAATATTGTCCTCGTACAGCAGTTGCAGGCTTCCAGAGTAGTCCTGCACGTCGTCGGCCAGGCGTTTCTGCGTGTGAGATAGCATTTGTTGCCAAAATGGGATGTGAGTGGGGCGAGGTTGGAGAGCATCGACGCGTACATTTTTTTCTTTTCATTGAACCTTACACGAGGCTGCTGGTCGGTCTGATCGGTTTCATCGGAAGGCTCCCAGCCGCGTTTTCGCGTCGAACGGAGACTTGCGTCGTCAGGGGTTGGCTGTAGCAGTGGTGGAGGTGGATGTGCAGCTGCGCCGGCAAATCGCTGCTGCATGACTGCCTGCGTCGGCGGTAGCAAACCCTCTGCCTGCATTCTTGCTTCTTCTGAAACAGAGTTCCACATTTCGTCTTGTTCAGCCTGCTGAGCCAGGATGTACTGTGCGGCGTCGCGATTTCTGTTTCATACAAGGAGGAGTTGGTACCCCTGGAGTTTGTCTGTGCGCTCTCGCTCTCGGCTTGATTGCAAAATTCCAATCACAACAAACGCTTCCTTCATGATGTGCTGAATCAACGCTCAAAAGCACATCGGCTTACGTGTCAATGCCGGCCATGGAGCGACCGTAGCGAGTGTAGGCCGGCAAGTCGTTGACAATCCCGTTCTGCCCGGCCTGGCTCAGCAGCGCCGACGCCTCGTCGACCATCTGCATTGCGTACGTGTTCTGTGCATATGCTGCCGAGTCGTTTCCAGCAGGGAGCTCGAACGCGGCGGCTCCGCTGCCATCCTCGAGCAGTAGCCCAGAGCTCGAGTAGGGATCGTCCGCCGTTGCCGTCGCCGCAGCCGCCGTGTTGGTGAGCTGCCACTCGAGCTGGGCAAAGATCCGCGAGATGTCAGAGTAATCTGTCAAGAGTATGTGTGTCATTGGGTACGAGTGAGAGCCGATTTTGCTCTTCTTCTCGAATCTCAGACTCTCAGAACTCTCGGATCGGAACGTAGGAAGCAAGAAATGCACGTAACAATGATTGCACAACAGTCCAACAAACACGAAAGACCTCACATTGAGCGCTGTGACCTGAATGGTACTGCATTCGTTGAATTTTGACGACTGCGCTCTGATTTTTCTGAGCTAATAATCCGATCTGAGCTGAGCAATACTGTGGATAAAGTCATGTCGGTGCATGGATTCCTTCAACCAAAACTACAGTCTCAGTCTCTGGTCCTACAGCTTCTCAGTCTAACTTCTTTCCTTCAATTTTGCTGAATGGCAGCGACTGCAGCACAAGTCATTGCGAGCTACAACCTGCAGCCGCACACTGGTTTGTCGCTTGCAATTGTCCCATTCGTGTTGGAGCAACATTGAAAAGACCTCGAATGCTCAACATCTTTTGCTCTTTGGGGGTATTGGGGTATGTATTGGGGGGCAGAGGGCGGATTTCTTGCGCTCGTCAACCCCGTGGTGCCGACTGAAACGGTCGAGACTGGCCGGGCTGGCAAGGGTGGCAAGCGACTGCTGCACACCATCATCCACTTTATGCTGTCCAAGGACGACCCGCGCTTGGTCTGGCACGTCAACCTCTCCGACATTGCCACCTTCTGGCACGCGGGAGGCACTCTGCGTCTCTACCTCATCGATACTGGTAAAATGTGCAACATCCCCCATGTTATTGCATGCGATTACGCATCATTATGATTGAATGAGAAAAAAGTGATCGTGATGCGTTATGGAGAAACGTATCGCGATTGACAGGAAACGAGCTCGCAATGCAACAACACTCACCTCCTCCCACATCTGCGTAGATCACGTCTTCCATCAGGTAGACCTCGGCAAGGACGCCGCGAAAGGCGAAAAACTTACCTTCACTATTCCCAGCGGCTGGTGGAAGGCTGCAGAGTTTGTGGCAACGGATGCGTCGGATTTCGTGCTCGTGTCGGAGAGCGTCGTGCCCGGATTCTCCTTCCACGACAGGTCGTTCATCTCGACTGGGCAGTTTGTCAAAGAAAACGCTGCACTGTGGAACCAGCATCCCGGTACAGTCCGGTCATCGTCACAGGATTGTTTTATTTGGAGGGGATGTGGCATTTCGAATTCTCTAACTTTTTTTTTTGTTTTTTTTGTGCGGGCAACAGAGTGGGCCAACTTTATCCGAGAGCCCACGCTTTTCGTCTATCACATGTGCCCCAAGTCGTACTTTGACGCACAGGATGCCTCCAAGCCATATGTGCCGCGAGATTACGACGCCGACGGTTTCATCCATTGCTGCGGCTCGTTGGAGGAAATGCACCACATTTCCAACCTGTTCTTGAAACAGCATCAGCCACTGTCAGAGCCATTTGTGCTACTCGTTCTCGAAGCCAGCAAGCTTGAGAAGCTGGTCTTCGAAGGTCCCATGCATCCAAAGACAGATTCCCCTGCCGAGCCCGCTGGCCCCGCGCAAGCGGCCAACATTGCCGCTCTCAACACCAAGCTCTTCCCGCATATTTATTCGCCCTGTCCCCGGAGTGCAATCGTTGAAACGCATCTTCTGGATCGAGCTTCGGACGGCACTTTCCCACCGATCGATGTTCCCGAGCTGTCTGTTGTCCTGACCTCGACGTGATGATGTTCTCGGCTGCACATGCTCGGGCGGCAGTGTTGATGCTCTTGTTTCTTGGGGCTGACTTTGTCGAGTGCTGTCTGTACAATTCAATTTCGTTCTGAACCTTTCCTTCGCTCAAGTGTTTCGTCCACTGCGTCGGTCGTGGGTTTCACATCACCATTTCCATAAACATTCTCTTTCTCAGTTCATCTTTTTTTTTTTCCTTCTTCTTTTTTTCATTTCAATGCAAATGCATCGTCTGAGCGTCCTAGCAGCGCTGCTGATGCTGCTTGGCTTGGCTGCAACTGCGCGCGCCATGGTCATTCCCGGCGTCCCTGCCGTCGAGTACAATGATGTGCGTCTGCCTTTACTTGAGTTCCCTCCCAATCTTGTGTCCTCAAAGGGGGTTTGGGTTTGGGATTGGAGAGTCGAGGGGTTTACGAGGGGCAAGCAGACATTCAAACGGCCGTTGCATTTTCGCTTTTACGAACGACAATACTGGAGTGCTTGGTTTTTGTTCGTTGCGTGTCTCTGTGTGCAGAAGTGGGGCAATGACAGCGTGGGTGAGATGTGGGCAGAGGGGCACTGAGGGGCACTGAGGGGGGGGGGTGCGACTCGAGCTCAGCTCAGCAGAAGAACCAAAGCAAGGAGAAGCGCCACGTTGCGACCCTTGACATTGAAAAGGCGGGTTGCTGCGGCTGCCTCGCTTTGAGTGCCACCCCACACACAGACGTGTGCCCGTTGCACGTGTGCTCGTGCTCAGGCTCGGGTAGCACGCGGCGGCGGCAAGGGGCGGGGGTGGCGGAGAGCGAGAACTGCAATAACGCTTTCCGCTGCTGCTGCGAGCGAGGATGACGCCTGGCGAGCGCGGGCTTCTGCGGACAGACCTCTGCGACAACTGTGGCGGGGCAGCGTTGTCTCGCAAGTGCAACGCTGCGGGTGCCGGAGGGGAGGAAGAGGGGAAGGGTGGAAGAGCGAGTAGTGGGGATTCCGCTGACGATCTATTGCACTCTTTCGAGCATACATCACCCTACGATGGTGTCAACCATTGCTGCATTGCATCTCAAGCTTGTACTAACCAACGTCGTGTTTGTACTTGGTTTGTCGTTTGCGTGCTTTTGATTCTTGGAACACACAGCTCGATCCGGTCTTTTTCGTGGTCAACCGCCTCGACTCGGACGAGGAGGCGTTCGCGTATGAATACAAGCACTTTGACTTTTGCCCCGTGCTCGAAGACAATGATGTTCCCGAAAACCTCGGCGAATCTGTCTTTGGCGATCGCTTCCACGTCTCGTCCCTGAAGGTAAAGATTTTGAAGATTTCTTGGCTATCGTTATGTGTCATGACACACTCACCACTGCTGCCATGACCTGGCTTCTGCACGCACAGACAAACTTCAAGAACAACGTCGCGTGCCAGCTGTTGTGCACGAAAAAGTACAACTTGAAGGACGAAAACTCAAAGACGGCGATTGCCAACCTCGCCACGGCCATCGAGAAGGTGTACCTGCACCACTGGTCGGTCGACTCCCTCCCTGTTGCGGAGGTGGCTACGTCGCACGACGAAGAGACCTACCAGCTGGGCTTCCGCGTTGGCAGCGTCAACTCGCGCGTTCCCGCCAACGACCCGACGCATCTGCGCCTTTACAACCACTACGATCTGCAGGTCGATGTCAACGGCGACCACCGCATTGTGGGTGCCAGCATCAAGATCCGTAGCATTGAGCATTCCGACGCCGAGATTGCCAACAACAAGTTTGAGTGCCCTGCAACGGCCAAAGAACAGTTCCTGTACACTCGCGCCACCGACTCGATGGACTCGTACCGCGTCGTCTACACGTACTCTGTGACGTATGTCAAGAGCGACGTCACTTGGGCCACCCGTTGGGATCACTACCTCAAGATCAAGGACCAGCGCGTCCACTTGTTCAGCATCATCAACTCGCTTGTCATTGTCGTCCTGCTGTCGTTCATGATTGCCATGATTCTGCTCAAGACCCTGCACAAGGACATTGCTCGCTACAACAAGACTGATGCCAACTACGAGGAAGCCGAGGAAGAGTTTGGCTGGAAGCTGTGCCACGGCGATGTTTTCCGCCCTCCCCGGCAAGCGCTGCTTCTCTCCGTCTTCTCTGGCATTGGCATGCAGCTTCTCGTGATGGGCTTTGTGGCCATTTTCCTTGCCTGCATCGGCATTCTGTCCCCCGCCAACCGCGGCTACCTTTCCACGGCTGCTCTCGCCTTCTACGTCACTCTGGGTGGTGTGGCCGGCTACTCGTCTGCTCGCGAGTACAAGATGCTTGGTGGCGAGCGATGGAAGTTGAATGTTCTCTTGTCGGCGCTGCTCTTCCCTGGGTACGGCATTTTGGCAATAGGTTTTGTGTGTGTGTGTTGCCTTCAGTTGGAGTTTGTGATGACTTACGTTCCTTTTCCCCTTTTCCCTCCCCCTCCTCCCCAAATCCTCCAAATCCTGCAGTGTCACTTTCATCATTATGACCATTCTCAACCTCGTTCTTTGGCACCGCGAATCGTCCAACGCCATTTCGTTGAGCGCCATGTTCGAGCTGCTCGCAATGTGGCTGCTCGTCTCGGCGCCGCTGTGCTTTGTGGGCGCCTATTTCGGCTTCCGCCGCCCAGCCATCACGCACCCTCTCCGCACCAACCCAATCCCGCGCCAAATCCCAATCCAGCCCGTCTATCTGCGCACCATCCCAGCCATTCTTGTTGGCGGCATTCTGCCGTTTGGTGCCATTTTCATCGAGCTGTACTTTATCTTTTCGAGCATTTGGTCGCACCTCATGTACTACATGTTTGGCTTCCTGTTCCTGGTCGCCATCATCTTCCTCGTGACGTGCTCGGAGGTCTCCATTCTCCTGGCATACTTCCAGCTCTGCTCTGAAAACTACCACTGGTGGTGGCGCTCCTTCCTGTCGGCGGCCTCGACGTCCTTCTACCTGTTTATTTATGTGCTCTTCTTTTACATTCGTCTGCCCTCCGACCGCCTGGTTGGCGTTGAGAACGCCGTCATCTACTTTGGCTACTCGATCATCATTTGCATGTTCGTGTTCTTCGCAACTGGTGTCATTGGCCACTATGCGTGCTTTTACTTTGTGCGCAAGATTTACGGCTCCATCAAGGTGGATTAATCGTTTTCTTTCGACGACACAAACCCGCATTATTGTTGGCTGATTTATTTCTTGTTTCTTGTTTCTGGTTTTGTTGTTGTTGTTGTTGTTGCTCTTGTTGCTCTTGTTGCCCTTGTTGTTGTTATCGATAATGTCGTGCGTTTCAGTTGCTGCAGTGGGTGCTTTCAAGTGTTCTTTGTTATATTTTGAATGCAAAGTACCTCGGCAATGATTTTTTCCAACTGAATTCGGCAACGACAAAGACAACTTGTTGTGGCTATGCCTCGTCCTCATCCTCGTCCTCATCCTCGTCATCTTCATCGCTAGCATCGTCATGCTCGCCATGATCATGATCACTTTGCTCTTGGTCATCGCCGTCGACGTCCTGGCCTTCCAAGGTGGCTTTCAGTTGCTGGTAGGCGCTGCTCGTGTACCCAGCCTCTTCTGCGTGCGTGCCTGCTTCAACGGCCAGCATCATGTGCTCCTCGCTGACGGCATCATCTTCGGTCTGAATCGAAATGTCCAAGTGCCAGGTCGCGAGATCCGTGTACACGGCTCCCGTCACCGCCTGTGTCCAAGGTGCATGCACGATACGGGTTTAGGATGGCACAATCACTCGCCTTCTGGGGGAATGCGGGATCTCACCTTTGACAGATTGGAAGTCTGCTCCAACGCGGCCTTGAGCGGAGCAATTGCGTTGCGCAACGCTGGGAGCCGGTCTGCGTGGTTTGGAGGAATACCCATGAGTGACAAGTGGGCTTCAACGCGAAGGACGCGAATCTGGTCTTCCTCGGAGAGTTGGCTGGCCAAAGACTTTGGTTGCTGGAAAATTGCTTCCAGTGACTTTTTCCAGGCGACAAGTGTGTCAAAGGATACTGAATGGTTGCAAAGTCCAATGTTAGTATCGACGAGACTAGACAGGCGAGCAAAGCAATCAGAAAGCTGTCGTGGCTTTACAGGTGACTCGCGAAACGCCAAGCATTGCATCCAAAGAGTTCAAGCTGGCCTTTGCTTGATCAATGTCGCTGACTGTCGCATGATACGCAATGCTCTGTTTCGATGGCGATCACCAACAGCCGAAAAAAGTGGTGAGAAGCAGATGCCAAAAGGGGACCGTCGACACGACCGAAGTTTCGTCTTACACGTTTTGTGAGCTCGGTCGCTCGCTTGATGAGTGACTGCACCTTCCGCGAAAACGGCTGCTCTGGGTCGTCGTTCTGCAGGTTGATTCCGTCATCCATGGATTGTTCGTCTTGCACCTAAGCATGCCCCGGCAAAAAGCGCGAGCCCAGTTAGCAAGCAGTTCCCGAATGTCTGTCCTTCATGGCAGCATCGGCATCTATGTCGTGAACTTTGCGTACCAGCTCCCACAACGAGTCGGCGAGGAAATCGACGAGAGTGTGCACGTTGTCTGTCGGAGAAGCCACGCCCAGCGCTTCTTCACCTTTCTGAATGGCAGCTGCCAACAGTTCGCTCGACTGCAGGTGGATGGAATTGGCATGAGCACCACCAACGTTTTCGCGCTTTTGCACTCTTGAAAAAACCAGTCACAAGCTTACAGGCGCCTGACGAGTTGCAAATGCGAGCGCTTCAGCCCACTGCTTGCAATGCGAGAATGACTTTGTGAGAGCTGCGTCGTCCTTGACTTCCTTTTCAAAGCGTTGGAGACTGGCTGCGATGAGTGCCTAGAATTGATTTGGGGGGGGGGGTTGTCAAAACCAAATTAAAACCAAATTGGGCGCGTGTGTCAGAACGGCTCAGAATCCGAGTTCTTTAGAGGTTGTCTAGCCAGGCTGCTGCGACTCCAGCCAAGTCCTTACTTGCACTACTTTGCTTTGATATTGCGAGCGATCCTTGCTGGACAGTGCTTGCACGATCGTATTGTCGTCGTCCACATGGACGAGTGTTCCAGTGGGTTGGTCATCAGCAGCATCAGAGTCGCCTGCCCCTGCCGCTGCTGCTACTGCCGCTGCCGCCGCTGCTTCCTGGCGAGCAAACTGAAGCAGCTCCACAGCAGTGAGGGTTTCGCCTCCAAAGTCCAGCTCGACCTCGTCGCACTCGGCGTCCAACTCGCGTGTGATCCGCTGTCGCTTGCGATCTGGCCCGACAGAGCAACGTTCATCGGAGAGTTGTTTGAGCTTGAATCAGCCGTGTCTATGAGCAAGTGAATCACCACAACGCAAAACAAGCATCCTCACCTCGCGATGGTCCAGCAGCAGTTGTAGGAGGAGCAGCATTGTCCGCTTCGAGCTGTCGCTTCGAGTTGCCAGTCGCAGACATTTCTCAACCACCAACAAAGCAAGTAAAAATCAAGACTGAACGATCATCTCGAATAAAGCCAGCTGAATGAGAGGATGACAGCCTCATGGGAGCAGACTGAGGCGCTTTTACGGCGACTGCTCAGTAACAATTCGCCCACTCCTCTCTCTCCTCCTCTTCCTCCCCTCTGCTCCCCCCTGTCCAACGTTGTTATTTCCATTGTACTCTTCTTTCGCCCCCATTTTTGTCGAACGAGTTCTCGCCACTCTTTCTTTCTTTTCATTCGAGCTTCAGGTTTGGCATTCTCATTCTCTCCCTTCCTAACTCTCTCCCTTCCCATCTCTTCAAATTTCCATCTCTCATTCACTTCCGCTGAGACTGACCATTCGTTACCAAGTGGTGCGACTGACCATCGACCATTTGGTGAAAATGTGATCTTTCCATTGCACTCGTGGGTGGAGCGTTTTGTTGGGGCAAAACGAAAAAGACAAACATAATGGAAAAGTCCCCGCTCTTCATTCACAATGCTCACTCCAGTCAAGCACACAAGAAGAAGAACAAGAAGAAGAAGAAGAGAAGCCGGAGAGAGTAGTGCTGCCATTGGATTGCGAGTCAAACCCTTTGGCAAAGAGAAGAAGGCGGCCGATTTCGCACAGTTTCCCAATTGTTATCCTCCCAATGCAAAACGAGCTTCACAGTTGTTGTACCTCAGTGCTCACTCACCACCGATAATGTTGTAATAGGATTTGACTCTTTCGCGCGCTCTCTCTCTTTCTGTGTGGCTTGTTTCTGACTCTGAGATGACGGCTGCTGCGACGATGGACGCTGCAGTGCCGCTGTCGAGGCAGAGTTCGCGCGACGCCGACTCGCTCAAGACGCTGCTCACCCTCATCCCTACCACGGTAAACGCGTCATCCCCCCCCCCTCTTTTTGCAACAGTATTTGGTTTGAGGAATGCAGCACTCTGTTCCAATCGCCACTCTGTTCCATTCTCCACTCTACGTCCAACGCTCAATGCACTCGAGCACATGCTTCAACCAACGGGCAATTGCAATCATCAATGACATCTGCTACGCTCTCACTTTCTCATCCAAAAAAAGTGCTGTGCTGATTGTTGGCATTGGAGTTGTGATCACCATCATCACCTATCATCAGCATCGTCAGCATTTTCATGTTGGAAGTGCGGCGTTTGATCCCACGAGTGCAGGAAAAGCCAATGAACGAACGGCTGATTCTCGTTTTGGAGCTGGTCTTGTGGCTTTTTTGGCTTCATCTTATGCAAGCCCTATCACTAACTATCACTATCACGATCGCTCTAACTGACCTCGAAATCATGTGCTCATTGGATGTATCCCAACAGAGCGCCAGACAAGACCTCAACCGATTCACGCGCCTGTTCACGGCCACCGCACTGATCGGCGCCTGTGTCGCTGCGTTTTACTATGGCTTGCCGTGGTTTATGCTGCCGCTGTGGTGGGCCGTGTACGGCACCGCCCTGTACGGCCTGTTCTCGGTGGCCGCTGCCTGCTCGGACGACTCGCTCACCAGCAGCAAGCTCATCAACCGCGTTGTCGGCACCATCGCGCTGCTTCCCGTCCTGATTTCGTTCGAGAGCCTCAAGCACCGCCGTCGCCTGGTCGCCCAGGCCATCGCCGACTCCAAGACCACCGCCATCCACGCCGTCGATGCCGCTGTCGAGCGCGTTGGCTCGCTTTGGTACGGATGGTACTTGTCCAGCTTTGTCGACTGGATTGGCTCGGCGATCGTCTTCACCCGTGACCAGTGGTACTACTTTGTCATCAACCACGTCATCCTCTTTGCCTTTGCCGCGGTCTTCTTCCCGGTCATGGTCTACCTGGTCGGCTACTGGGGTCTGCTCAAGTTCTGGGTCGGTCCATTCCTCGTCTACCACCTCTGGATGTCCTCGTCCATTCGCGTGCGTCTCGCCATGTCTGTCGAGATTCGCTTCCTTCAGGAGCGTGCCGAACAGTACAAGTCGTAAGTGTTTTGTTGACTTTTTGCGTGTGTGTGTGTGTGTGGGGGGGGGGGTTTCTCGCCTTCCGCCACTCTCGCTCATACTTCAACTCATCGCTTCCACCGCAAAATCTTGTGCCCATAGGCTGATTGCTCGTCTAGAGCAGGTGCCAGAGTCTGCCGTCCACGAAATTTCGCAGTGGCTGGCCTCCGTCCGCTCGGCAGCTGCCGACAAGAACCTGCGCATCGACAGCTGGCGTCTTCGCTTTTTCGACTACTTTTTTGGCAGCGATGTGTTTGGACCGACCCCTGCCGTGTCGAGCGTGTTTGAGCCAGTGACCCCGGCGAGCTCGCCTGTTAGCGTTGCGGACGCCGACCTCAACGAGACGCACGCCAACGATGTTGCCGTCACCTCGCCCCTTGACGCTCCGTCCGAGCCCATCAAGGCCCCTGCGGACGACAAGCAAGCCTCCCTCATTTCGCGCATCAACTGGGTCACGGCCACTTGGCTGACCGTCACCCCGCTGCTGTCCATTTACGGCCTCGCCACTTGCGACTGGCACCTGAAGACGTTCGTTCTTGGCTTTGTCCTGTACCAGCTCGGCGGCATCGGCATCACTGCTGGCTACCATCGCCTCTTCTCCCACCGCTCCTACGATGCGGCAACCATTCCCAAGATGATTCTCACGGTCATGGGCACTTCGAGCTTTGAAGGCTCTGTTTTCGAGTGGTGCAGCGACCACCGCGCACACCACCGCTACACGGACACTGACCGCGACCCTTACAACGTCAATCGCGGCTTCTGGTACGCGCACATGGGCTGGTTGCTGTTCAAGAACAAGACGCGCCACACGTTCAGCGACATTTCCGACCTGCAAAAGATTTCGTGGCTCCAGTTCCAGCACCGCTACTTTGCCTTGCTGGCCATGCTCACTGGTCTGGTCCTGCCTACCCTCATTGCAGGTTTTGGCTGGGGTGATTGGATGGGCGGTTTCCTGATCGCCGGCGTCGGTCGCACCGTCTTCCTGCAGCAATGCACCTTCTTTATCAACAGTCTCGCTCACTTCTGGGGCGATGCCACCTATTCCGACCAACGCTCGCCCCGTGACTCGTACTTTGTCTCGCTGCTCACTTTCGGCGAGGGCTACCACTGCTTCCACCACGAATTCCCGTACGACTACCGCAACGGCATTCGTGCGCTCCATTACGACCCCGGCAAATGGGTCATTGCCTCCATGGAGATGCTCGGACTGGCGTGGAACCTGAAGCGCTTCCCCGACGAGGTGATTGAGAAGGGCAAGCTACAGATGCAGCAAAAGCGCCTGAACGAGGCCAAGAGCAAGATTGAGTGGGGCCCTGCCATCGACTCGCTGCCATTCATCACCATGCAGGACATGAGCAATCGCGTGGCCGAGGGTGCCATGCTGCTCGTCGTTGACAGCATCGTCCACGATGTCCGCGATTTTGCCGACCAGCACCCCGGCGGCGCACCTCTCCTCAAGTCGTACATTTGCAAGGATGCCTCGCTTGCCTTCAACGGCATGAGCTACAATCATTCGCTTGCGGCTCGCAACATTCTCAAGACGCTTCGCATGGCGCGCATCGAGGATGCCTCGTCCGAGAAGAAGACCCAGTAAAAAAAAAAAAAAGGGCGAAGACAACAAATAGTTGCGGATTTCATTCATCTGATTTTAACTGGCGTGTTGCATGTTGAGAACGGTTTGGATTGGTATGCAACTGGTCAGAGTACATAGTATTTTTCTTTTGTTTTGCAAAAAAAAAAAAAAATGTGTGGTGCAAGATTCAATCGCTCGATTATTGGGACTTGGTGGCTGCTTTGGGCTTGTTGGCGCCTTTGCCCTTGGCCTTGCTGTGCTCGATGAATTGCCTGTGGAGCACAATAACGTGAGTAATGAGACGAATGCCAACGGGTGCTTTGCCAATGCCACCAACAACAAAAATCACCTTCGCTTTGCTTGACGCTCCCGATCATACGCAGAAGTGGCAGAAATGTCATCGCGTTGGATGGGCTTCTTGGCCAGTCGCTTGCGCGTGGATTTACTGCGAATAATGAGAAGGGGGTGGGGAAAGAAATGAGAACGTGCAGGTACAACCCTTTTTTCCGCAGATTTCGTGAATTTCGTGAATTTCGCATACTTTGGTTTCTGCAGCGAAAGCATCCACTCGGGAACGTCGCAGCCGCTCTCTTTCATGACGTTGACGACGGTGCGCAGGTTGATTGAGTCTTCTTTGGTGAAGAACGTGATTGCTTCACCGGGACGACCGGCACGACCAGTACGACCTATTAGAGTGCAACGCAAAGTAGCCAAGAGAGGAGGCACGCCAGGATGAGTGACTCGATGAAGGTGCCAAGCTTAGATCCATCACAAGCGTTTCGCTGGGAATCATTACCAATGCGGTGAATATAGCTCTCAGCCGTTTGAGGAAAATCAAAGTTGATGACAAGATTGACGCCCTTAAAGTCCATGCCGCGAGCAAGCAGCTCGGTAGCAATCAAAAACCACGTTTTGCCTGTTCGGAAATTCTTGATTGCCGTTTCGCGCTGTCCAAACCAAAGCGACAAGAACGAACGAAAAAAAAAATGCAAGAAAACAAAAAAAAGGTCAATGTCGAGCGCAAGAATGACCCAAGCACCTTGCGCAATAGAGAAAGGCTTGTACCTCCAACGATGTTCGCTCAGCATGAATCACATCAACATTCATCTTCTCGTAAAGCATCTCACGATGCAGCTGTTTCGCGCGATCGACCGATTGCACAAAGACCAGAATCGGTGGCCGAACGCCCTAGATGCGTCAAGCGTGGTCATTCGACAAAAAGCAAAGCAAACGTGCGATAATCAGCACAACATCCACAAACATCAAGACAACTCAAATCATCAAGGCGCCGTGTGAACAAACCTTTTGGATCATTTGCTGAATGGCAAGAATCTTGCCTTCCTCTCGCCCAACAAACAAGAGCTGTTGCTTGACATTCTCCGTGGCCATGTTTCTGTATGTGCCCAAGTCGTAGAAGAGGTGGAAAATAATCAGTCAGCATCAAATAAAACCCTGGAGCAAAAAAAGGCAGACCCATCAATCCGCTGGTCACTTACCCGGCACCAATGCCAACACGCAATGGCTGGTTGAGTAGAGTTCGGGCCACCTCTTCAACGCCGGATGGCATGGTCGCTGAAAACAGCGCTCGGGTAATGTTCGGGTTGGAGCAGGCAGCAAGAATCTCATCCACCTGCTCAAGGAAGCCCATGCCGAAAAGGTTATCGGCCTCGTCGCAAATCAGCCACTCGACCGAGGCCAGCGACAACTCGACCTGCCGCAAAATGTTGACGAGTCGCATCGGGGTTGTAACGAGAACGTCGAAATCGGGGGTGGCGACGCGGGGCTTGACCGCGGGTTGCTCGTCTGCCACCTCCATTTGCGGTGCTTTTTTGGACTTGGTGACTGCCATTGGGGCCTTGCCTTTGGATTTCTGGGCACTCTTGAGAGCCTTGTGTTTGGTTGTTGGCACATCATCGTCGCTGAGGGCGTCTTCGTCGTCGTCCTCATCCTCATCTTCCTCATCTTCATCTTCCTCATCTTCTTCGTCATCGCTGGAGTCATCGTCAGCCACAATGCCACGTGTCGGAAGCTGCGCACCAGCAGCCACAGACTTGGTGAGCAGGGAGATTTTCAGCCCACGACCTTCGGCCAAGCGGCTGAATTCGCGATGGATTTGCTGTGCAAGCTCGCGCGTCGGCGAAATGATCAGCGCGCGGACGCCGCCGCCAGAGACGTGACGGTCGAGCGCCTCGATGATGGGGAGCGCAAAGGCAGCCGTCTTGCCAGAGCCGGTGGGCGCATGTGCGAGCAGTTCTGTGCGTTGCAAAAGCACAGGCATTGTTTGCATTTGAATCGGCGTTGGCTCGGTGAATCCGAGTGCGGCAACGTTGCGCTGAACAGTCTTGGAAAAGTAGGGCTTGTTGGTACGAGGATTTGTGGCATCGAACGTGCGCATCGGCTCCGGAGCTTCTGCGCCATGAATGTGAATGCCGAGCTGCTTTCGAAATACCGCAACTTCCTGCTGGTGACGGTTGATTTCGCGACGACGCTCTGCCTCTGCATCGTCCTGAGCTTCCTGCTGCTCTGCATCGGCAGCACTCTTCCCCGCCTTGGCCTTCGCGGCCTTGGATTTGACAGCCTGGGCTTTGCTCTGAGCAAAGAGATGGACTTGCTGCTCGTCCTCATCATCAGCAGAAGTGCCTTTGCCTCGACGATCCTTCGCCTTGGAAGCCTGCTTGGCAGCCTTCTTCTTGTTCAATCCAGCAGCACCATTGGCGCCATCTGCCTCGCCCTCGTCGTCGTCGTCGAGGTCCTCAGTCTGGTGTCGCGGCTTCTTGGACGCTGCAGCAGCGACGGATTTCTTGCGACCTGTACAACAGCCCAACAAAATGAGCATTTCGGATCCAAGTTGAGCAACTTGTTCCAGTGCAATGAAGGAGCAGGATGGCATGCGCAGTTGGCAGTCTCGTCACAATGGCACACTGCCACATGGAGCAGATCGACCAAGTACAAAGTTCCGTAAAGCGCACCGTCGGTCGGTCGGTCGCCACGCCACTCTCGAGCAGCAAGCAACAGACACGAGGCTCTCACACGCGTCACACCCCCCCCCCTTCGCAACGCAAATGGACGACGCGAGGACTGTGCGTCGTGCGGCGTTGGCTTTGCTGTTACCTCGTGTGTCATCCTGATCATCATCGTCGTCGTCGTCGCCATCGCTCTCGGCCGCTCGCTTGGAGCCCCGCGACACGGAAGCAGAAGTCGCAGTCGAGGCAGAAGCCGGAGTCGGGGCAGAGGCGAAAAAGTCGAGCTTGGCTGGGATGTGCGCGCCGAGCCCGCCCGCGTTCAGCGGCACCGAGCGACCCTGCTGCGCCTGCATTGGGCGGGCGTCGTCGGCCAGCTTGGCACGATCGCGTCGGCTGAACGATGCACCCTGCGACAACTGAGCAAACGCAGCCTGCATTTGTTGGTCAAAATGGGTCAATGAAGCGAAAGGGGGGGGGCGAAAAAAAAAAGACTGAGAACTGAGATAGAGAACTGAGACTGAGAACTGAGACTGAGAGTGAATGCAGCACCCGCTCCGACTGCATCCATGTTGCGTATGATAGGGGGTGGTCATTCTACGAATCGTCGTGTTGCATCCGCAGTGTCTGAGGGAATGGTGGAACGCAGTCTGAGTTGAACTGCACAAACCAGCTCTCATCGATGGTCCGTTCACAGGGATGGGATTTTTTGGTCATTCCTTGTTGTCGTCGATTATTGAATTTCCGTCGTTAATGTCAGAATCCAGTCTGAGAAACTACCGCCAATCCTCTTTTTTTTTCTTTTTTCTTTTTTTTTTTTTGGCGGGAAATCCAAAACGGCGCCAAAAACAATACAAAATGGCGACGATGATGGACACGCAGCCCGATGCGAGCCAAACCAACACATCCACGCTGAGCAATGGCACCACGACAGCTCATTCCCACGACGCTGCTGGGGCGGCAGCGATGGGACTCGGTCAGGCAGAGCAGCAGCGTGCTGCTGCGGCAAGCCAACCGCCAGCCACCGGTCTGCTGCGACGCCCACTGCCGTACGACCCGGCGACCCTCGAGTGGGACTACATGCACGCGACCAATGCGCAAAAGTCGTACTGCTACTGCGGCGGCGATCGCAACGCAATGTCGCAGCTGCTCGAAGTCCAGTGCTTGCACTGCCGCAACTGGTTCCACCCGGCGTGCCTGTCCAACCGCGCGCTCGGTGAGTCGATCGCGGCGTCCACTGTGGCATTCGTCGGGAACTATGTCTTTCACTGCGAGAACTGCGCCGCCGCCGCCGCTGCTGCTGCCTCATCGTCCTCGTCTAACACCACCGACGGTCTGTTGCCGCCGAGCGCAGAGTACTTTGAACGAGTCATGTCAAACAAGAAGGACACTACAATCACAGCGGTGGCCAACCTCATGGTCAGCAAGGTGCTTGCAAGCGGCGGCACACTCGCACTGGAAGACGCGTACTCGGATCGCAAGGAGGTGAGCGCATTCATTGAATCCAAGTGGACCCAGCTGGCCACAGGTCGCTCGCGCTTGAACATGTCGGCGGTCGGCCAATGCCTGTCGGAAAACGCAGTGTTCACGGCGTTGAACAACAACACGCGCGGTGTTCATGCGAGCTATCGGTTGACCTACACCAGCCTGCTCTTGCTCACGCCAGACTATGAGAAGAGCAAAAAAAATCTGACGGCAGTTGGCACTGCGCTGGCGCTTCCACCAGACACCTCCGCGGCGCCGGATGCTGCCAACCTTGCCAGCAATGCTGTGACCTCAAAGCGGAAAGCCGACCCTGCTGCTGGCATCCAAAAGAAGACACGCAAGATGCCGACTCCGCTAACAGCGTATGTTATTTTGAAGCGCGAAGGGGGGGGGGCAAAGGGCAGCTGGCTAGTGAATGAAAGAGGGTTTGGCTCGCTGGTTGAATGGTGGGCACTCACCAAACTCTTGGTCTCTGTTTTGTTTGTGTTTTTTGTTTGTCTTGTTCTTCTCTTCTCTTCTCTTTACTCGTGCCTTCCACTTTAACAGCGCAATGCTACCAACGATTGATCACCCAATGAACAAACTCAACTTTCGGTACACTTACGCCGAGCCCGATCCTTTCAGCACGACGGAAGCCTTCCGCGTGGCTCATCCAGACGAGCACACTGTACTCATGTCGCTGCACGATCGCGCTCCCCAATTGCACATTGAAGCCAATCGACTGACCATCACGGGCGAGAAAGGCTATAGCGCCGCGCGTGCAGCCGTCGGGGTTGACAAAGGCTGCTGGTACTTTGAGGTGAATGTGCTCAAGCCGGTTGAGGAAGGCCATGCGCGCCTCGGCTGGTCGCAAAAATATGGTAAGTTGAATTGTGTAGTGAATCACTTTATTCTGCTTGACTCCAGCCACCCAAAAAAACATGCTCCGTGTATTTCACTCATTTTGTCCTCATTTTGTCCGCGCGAATTCCAGGAAATCTCCAAGGGCCGGTCGGCTTCGACTCGTTCAGCTATAGTTACCGTGATGTTGATGGTAGTAGGTTCCACGAGAGCCGAGGTCAGCCGTACGGCCAGGGATACGGTCCTGGGGATGTCATTGGATTGCTGATCGACTTGCCGACAACCGCTCAGCCATCGACCGACGAGCTTGCGAGAGATTTTGGAACTCTCGTCGACTACAAGGGGTTTGTGTACTACGAGGAAAACGTGACTGTGCCCAAGCAGCACCCCGAGCCGCTGCAGGCGAGTTGCATTGAATTTTTCAAGAATGGAAAATCTCAAGGGGTGGCTTGGTCGAATATTGGCCAGGGCACCTACTTTCCTGCAGTGTCTTTGTTCCGCGGTGGACGTGTCAAAGTCAACTTTGGTCCCGACTTTAAGCACTTTCCCACCAAGGTGTCGCAACTCGGCGCGAGCGATCGCCCTCGAAATTTGCCACGTCCCTTTTCTGAAGCGGCTCACCAGCATATGGCCAGTTTGGTGATGCACAACCTTCTCAGCAAGTTTGATCTTGCGTCTTGTCCCGAGGACGAGCGCCGGAAAGCCGACGCGGCTGCCACCGCCTCCGCCGCAGCTACAGCAGCCGCCACAGCCGCGGCCTCAGCAGCAATGGCATTAGTATCAGCAGCCTCGAGCTCGTCGGCGGGCGCCGCATCAGCTCCGGATGTGAAGCACAGCGCCCTCGTTCTTCCATCCGCCACTTCAACTCCAGCAAGCCGTCCCGGTTTCAATGCATTGCCTCACGCTCCTCCTGCTGCTTCTCCCTCGTCTTCCTCTCTACCACCTCAGGCCATGTACAATCCTGCCGTAGGCCATGCACCCTGGGGCCAGCCAACATTGATGGCGCAGCCAGTTCTGATGCCCCATCAGCCGACACAACCTTTGCGTCAACAAGTGTTTGCGCAGGCCGCCGAAGCCCATCACCAAGCTGCCGGTATCTACACTCCATCCCCTGGCGCATACGGCCAGCCGGCTTACCACGCCCCAGCCCAAGTCATGTATCATTCGCACGCAGCACCGTCGTCGTTCGGAACCGCCCCAGGCCCCTATGGTGGGAATCCGAGTGCGTATGGCGGCCAGCATCCTCCTGCCGAGTATGGTGGCTCATCTGGGATGCGTCTGCAATGAGCTGTAGCTTGCTTTTTTGGGAGGAGGGGATTTTTGCTGCTCGTTGGATCGGATTGAATTGTGTGCTGCTTGCTGTTGTTCTTGTTGTTGCTGTTCATTGTCCATCTAAGTTGTTCTCATTTGATTTTGTTACTGTATAACCACTCTTTCTTTCTTTCTTTCATTCATTGCCTTTGGAGTCGAATGCGTTGCATTACGCTCTTGCTGGCCATCGCTGCCGTTTCCATTGCCGCCGTGCAAGCGAGCCCTGCGGCCGTTCCGTTCGCGTCGCACGGCCGCCGCCTGCCGCTGTCTGTCGCCGCCGGCCTTCGCTCCACCCCTGCCGAGGCCACGTCGGAACGCCTGAAGGGCCAGTACAACTACGATGTCAAGTGGTTTACCCAAACGCTCGACCACTTCCGCTTTGACACGAACGCGACCTTCCAGCAGCGCTACCTGATCAGCACGGCCAACTGGAATGGCTACGGACCAATGTTCTTCTACACTGGTAAGGGGGCGCTCAAAGTGATGACGGCGAATGGGGGACAGCAGCGCGTGCCTGGTTCCTATAATACTCGGTCGATACTATCATCATCATCAGCATCATCATCATCATCATCGTACGATACTCACCTTATGAATTGGACGAAATTTTTACGCTTGAAATTGCTTGTTGATCACAGGCAACGAAGGCGACATTGAATGGTTTGCCGACAACACTGGCTTTGTGTGGGAAATCGCTGCCGAGTACAACGCACTGGTCGTGTTCGCTGAACATCGCTACTATGGCCAAACGATGCCATTCGGAGACAAGTCGTTCGATCTGGACAAGGTCGGGTATCTGACGACCGAGCAGGTATGATTGGCAAGATGAAAAAAAAAAAAGGCACACTGATTTGGTACTGAACGCGAACTGAACTCGCATGTATGCAATGCGATGGTAGGCCCTCGCGGACTTTGCCATCTTGATTCCGGCGCTCAAGGCGCAACTCAACGTGCCCAACCTGCCGGTCGTCGCGTTTGGTGGCTCGTATGGCGGCATGCTTGCGGGCTGGTTCCGCCTCAAGTACCCGAATGTGGTTGATGGAGCGATTGCCGCATCAGCCCCGATTGTCTACTTCCAGGATCTGACGTCGACTGAAATCTTCAACGAGATTGCCACCAATGACTTTGCCCTCACTGACGCGCGCTGCCCCAACATCATCCGTGACGGCTTTAGCAAGGTCGACGCGCTCTCCAAGACCGCCGCTGGTCTCCAGTCCATCTCCAAGGCCTTCAAGCTGTGCGGCACTCTGCAGCCCGCCGATTACGCTACCTTCATTGGCTGGCTCGAAGCGGGCCTGACGTACATGGCCATGACTGACTATCCCTACGCGAGCAACTTCCTCCAGCCCATGCCTGCCTGGCCAGTCGACGCCTCCTGCAAGGCGCTTCTTTCTACTTTTGTAAGAGCTGGAGCATGACTTGTTGTGGCAGAAAAGTCTCTTGTGTTGGGATTGGTTGTGTTTGGATGGGAGTGTAAAAAAAGGGGAATGAGTTCAATTTCCTCAATTTTCTGCTGGATAAATGTTGGTCTGGGCTCTGACTGATCCTCTCCATCATTAGGCTGGAACCTCTGACTCGGTCGCTGCCTTGAACACGGCCGTCGGAGTCTACTACAACTACACTGGCCAAACCGCCTGCAACAACATCAGCTCCCAGGCAACCTCCGATCTTGGTGTTCTCGGCTGGGACTACCAGAGCTGCACCGAAATGGTCATGCCCATGGGTTCTGATGGCATCCACGACATGTTCCCAGCGGCGTAAGGCCTATGCTGTGGTTGTATGTTTTGATATTGGAATTGAGAACCAAAATGTCCTAACTCGTCCTGCTTCTGCTTCTCTTGTGTTGCCTCATTTTTGCAGCCCTTGGGATCTCAAGTCCTTTAACGAGTATTGCAAGAAGCGATGGAATGTCGTTCCGCGCCCGACTTGGGCCGCCACCTCGTTCGGTGGCTTCAACATCACCGCTGGATCCAACATTGTCTTCTCCAACGGCATGCTCGACCCGTGGAGCGGCGGCGTACGTTCCAGTTGATGCGTGTTCTGTGCGGATGTGGCAGGGCTTGCTCATCCAACCTTTATGTGACTAATTGTTTTGTCTTTCACTGAAACACAGAGCATCACTCAAATCCAGTCCCAGACGCTTGTCGTCGTCAACATCCCCAAGGGCGCGCATCATCTGGACTTGCGCAGCTCCAACCCTGCCGACCCGCAGGATGTCATTGACGCCCGCAACGTCGAGCGCGCGCAAATTTCGCGATGGATTAGCCGCTGATCTGACAATCGTGCGTGCTCTCGTGCTTGTCATTGATGTTGTCGTTGTCAGAATTACGCAGACATGCTGCACTCCAAATTTGCTTTTTTTTTCAACCCCAACTGTAAATGACACCAGACCACTGAACCTTTGTGGATTGAACGGAGGTCTATTTGTTTCCTAGACCACTCATCAACACATCAACGAGCATCGGCCCCTTCTTTCCCGCTTTGGAGAACTCGGAGTAGCCTGCGGGCCTCAGAGTTTGTCGCCACGTCGGCGAGCTCAAGAGCGCGAACGCTAATGCGAGGCTGAATCATGGTTGGAAAGTACGAGCCATTCAGCAAAATGGTTCGCGTTTCTTGACCGAGAGGTGCGACCAACGCAGCACTTCCTCGCAGAAGGCGTGAGGGAGAATATTGCCGAGCAATCAGCACGAGCTGTCTCGACACAGTGGCAGCGGTCACGAGAGAGTGTAAGAAAGCGTGACCATCTGAATCTCCTCGAAAGAATTCCGTTTGTTGGTTCGGCTCGGCTTCGTCATCGTCGTTGCCAGTAGGAGAACCTGCGGCATGGCCGTCGCCAAGAAATCCAGGATGAAAGGAACCGTCCGGCATTCCATCCGTATTGTCGTTGTCGTCAGTGGCTGTCGGCAAGAATGCGCTCGGAACAAACCGAATCCATCCAACACTCATGCAAATCCGATGCAGCGCAGAGATAACAGGACTTGAAGCGCGCAGCAGGGTGAGCACAAGCTGGTCGTAGACAAACAAGGTCGCTTCAGCCGTCCCATCATCGATGATGCAAGTGGCGGAAGCAGAAAACGTCTTTGTGGCGCCTGGGCAACGTGAAGGACAAGAGCCATCCCCGACAATCGTTTGCTCACACGCGGCACAAATCCACTTGAGTTGGACCGCGTTGATGGACACGAGAGTGCAACGCACGCGCACAACCGACGCCGCTGATTGGGAAATCGAGGCCAACGATGCATCGCATGCATGCGTATGGTGAGGTCCAAAGGTGTCGCTCAGGCCAGCGCCAGCAGCAACAGTACGCAAGTCAAAGGCAGCTGCCATCTCGCCAGGGAGGTGAAGGGTGGCTGGCACGGACGCGGTTCCGCGAGGCTGTCCGTTGCCTTCGTCGTTGTCCATCCCGCTATTGGCCACTACAAGTCCGGAGCGGATGACAAACGGCAAAGGTCCGGGTAAAAACGACGCGACCGTCAAGTCAGAGTCAGGGCCAGCGGTGCAGTAAACGTTGCCTGTGGTGGTGGAAATTTTGAGAGTCCAGTGGCGCAGGCGAAGAATTGCGCCAGGCACAAGTCCCAGTGGGTAGTTGTACCGATGCGGATCCAAGTAGATGGCGAGCGCGCGAGGAGGAGGGCTGGCAAGCGTAGTGGCCGCCACATACGACCGATCAATCACTTTCAGCACAATAGCATTCGTTCGAAACACTGGGTGTGTGCGGTATCCGGTGTTCTGACGAGCATCGCGATGAATAAGGACGGCGTCAAAGGAGACGACAACGTCAGACGTCTCGGATTTGGCGCGTTTGACATGTTGAGAGCTCAAGATACGATTCAGGGGCTCCAGTTGTCGCTCGAGCTCGGCACGACACTCTGTGACTAGCTTTTGGGAGAGTTCTAGCCGATCTGGAGAGACTTGGTCGAGTTGGTAAGACTTGACGACTGAGGTGGTGCTGAGATGGAGCGTTGCGCCATCGCTCGACCAATGCGCACCACCGAGGTAGACGAGCGACCCCGGCGTGAACAGGTGTCTTGAGGCCAGCACTTCAAATCCATCGAGGGAGAGTTTAAGCGGCCGACCGGGGGTTAAGTTCACGTCCAAATCAGACGAAGAAAACAACTCGATGCACTGCGCGTCAATCACCAGATGGTCGTGTTGAGCAAGAGGTAACCGACGTAGTTTGACGAGAATCACCATTTCAGTGCTGGTCCTATTACTGTGGTCAATAGACAATCGAGGAGGCTCTTGAAGTTGACCAAGCCGAGTCGCGTCGGCCAGAGAAAACTCGATGTACCGGAAGTGAAGCGGCAAGCTCGCCACATCTGCATCAAGCGCGTGTCGTCGAACGACGCCCGCTGTCGTGGTGCTGGCAATCGAGTCTGGCTGAAATGTCTCAATAACCAACCGGTAGTCTGAGATTGCCCAAACGCCACCAATGTGCTCGGGTTGTACGGCACCCTTGAGCAAGGCAGGAAGGCAGCCTGTGGCATCTGCAAACCAAAGCTCTCCACAGCCAAGCGACGCCGCCGCGGCGCCCGACGCTTCGCCTCCAGCGGGACAAGCTGCCTCGCCCAAGGCGGAAGTGCTCGCCGTTAAGGCACCAACGAGCACAGCATTGCCCTGCCCGCATTCGCTATGGTTGATAATCCGGCACGACCACCAATCCAACGCGCCGCTCGCATTCTCTTGAGTCGAGTCTGGCAACAGCTGCGATAAACCAAAGATGGACGGAAACGTCGGAAATACGCCAGTGCCGTTCGACGGAGCCCAGGCGGGGCACGAGTGCTGGAGCTTTCCAGTACAAAATTCAGCGTAAATGTCGCGCGCGCCTAACGTGGTCCAGTGTTGCATCTCAATCAGCTGCTCTACAATGGCCTTTCCCGACTCTAGTTTCATAGGAGCCTCCGCGTCCCTCAGCAAAGCACCGGTAGAGGCAGAAGAAGGTGGAGAACCCAAGAAGGCAGACAGAGGAAGAAGTGAAGGAGGAATTTTCGCTTGAAACTGACGTGCAGTGCGCAATATCCACAAAAAGTCTGACACGGTACACCGCTTGAGTTGCCTGCAGTACGGACTGAGTTGAGCGACGAACGGCTCGTACGGAGCGCGCAAGCGGGAAAAGGAGCAGATTTCGATCGAGCCAAATGTGCAAAGTGCAAAGCCCGTTCGAACAGAGCCTTCCAGTGCAATGTGGGCGTTGTGAACGCATATGCTTGCCCCGACTCGCAGCCCGCGGCCAAAGTGTGGGTTGGGCTGAAGGCCGGTCAGCAAAAGTGTGCACTGGTCGAGCTCGTACATGCCCACAGCAGCATCAACCACTTTGGTGATGATTCCACGATAGGAAATGAGCACTCCGGCCTTCTTGGCAGAAGGAGAAGCAGATGGTAAGGAACATGCGCGGGGGGACGGCACCGAAACGTCGGGAGGTTCAGCGAGGTCGTTTGGATCCACTAATTGCGCCAGTTCAAGCAACGATACCGAGGCAATACGAGTGCCGTTGTCGTTGTGAATATCACTGGCCGAGCTCAAAGGCTTTGCAGCAGTGGCAGCCAAGATGCGTCGCTCATTCGGCTGGCCACGAAACATGACAGCGCACACCAAATTCGTCAGAACACAGGGCCGCCTTATCCGAAGCAAATTGTGGTAGTAAAGCAAGTTGTCGCCTTGGAACACCACGGTGGCCTCTTCATTGGGTGGATGCATCAATCCCGTGGGACTATCCGTGGAAAGTTGCATCATGAAAAACCCTGGTCGACCAGGCAGCTTGTGGACAGGGCTAAGGGCCGATACCACGCCACCAACGTGGAGCATTTGTCCGTGCAAGTCCTTTCTGCGCGAGTGCGTTGAAAAGGGTTCAAGTCAGCCAAAAGCGCGCGCGAGAGAGAGGATGGCAGGGATGGCATGAAGCGGCACTTACTTGGACAAGAGACGAGCGGCTCGTGAAACAGACAACACGGAAAGCTGTGAATAGTCAAAGGACGACGAGTTGTGTTTTGGCTGCACTGCTTCAATGACACTCTTGGCCTCCAAGTACGCCAACGAGACGCGAGATGGATCTGTCGGTGGGTTTAGAATTGATAGCAAATGAAGGGGAGCGGTCACAAATCTGCGTCAGCTTCATATCTACCAGAGCACCAGACAAGCCGTACATGCATACAACAGAGCATGGGCTCACCGGTGGTCAGCCGAAGGGGGAAATTCTCGCTCGGAATCAGATTCCAGGAAGGCACGATGACAATGGTGTCGATGACGCTGTCAGACACACAGTCCGGCACCACTTCGATCGGAATGCAAGCAGAGCCATCACTGAGATATAAAGCGCCCGTTTGCTCTAATGGCTGCTGCTGCGAAGCGCCAGGAAAACCGCAGGTGGACAGGTAACCAACAACGACTGGCGCCATCTGGAAAGGATTGGCTCCGTCCAGCGGAGCTGAAGCCAGTGTGCGATCGACCTCGAGCATTTGCGAAAAGTCGTCGAATGTCTGCTGCGAGAAGGAGGCTTGCGACTGAGACGACTGCGAGAGAGAGATTCGAGCTGAAGAATGGGACGGTGGTCCATCGGTCGGTTGCCCCGCTAAGAGCGATCCGCAGGTCGGCAATCCATACGACGCAGCCATCTCGCACAGCCGCCGGAGCGAAACGAACGGCGGACGAGCCACCAACGCCGCCGCAGTGGCGGTTGCGTGCGAATGATTCGCGCCAAGCACCAGTCGCTCGATCGTCGCTGCAATGTCTGCAGCCAGACCCGTAGCGCCAGTCGACGTGTGTGTCATCGTGGTCGTGGTCGCTGTGGTTGTGGTGGTCGTGGTCGGCAGGGGCAGAAAGCGAGCGACATGCTGCTCAATCTCCACGAGCCATTTGGCGCGCAAAGTGAGCTCTGAGAGTGAATCTTGGTCATCAACGTCCATCTGCAACAAACAAACAGAGACAATCAGACATGGGTCACAGGGACACGTATGTTAGGATTGAGGTGAGTGTTCATTTTGCGAGAGGTCTTTTGCTCGATCTTTGTGGACGAGGCCTCACTCTGAAGCGAGCCTGACAGCTTTGACAGGATTTATGACAACAAACAAGATACAAAACAGAGACTGGTCTTAAAAAGAAGAAGGAGAGCAATTGGAGAACGATCGAAATGACAGACAAGCTGCGGATCATCATTGCATGGTAACATTGAGTAATCACCAACATGACGAGCGGGTGAGTTGGGGGGGGGGGTGGCGCTGCTGCGGGGAGACCATTGGAGGGAACAACTCAGTTCAGCTCAGTTTGCATTTGAGCCTTTGCATTTAAAGTCACTCTGAGTTTTGGTGACGCTTTCTTGAACTGTATTGGTTCATTCTATCATTTTCCCTTTAACATTCTAATTCTTAGCTCGAGTGCGCGCGCGAGGTGGTTGGCAAATGAGCAATCCCAGCGAGAACAACGATGCCGACGTCCACCGATTGGCTGCACCTGCGCCCGTGCGTGGCGGGCTGATGACATTCAAGATGCGCTCGTTCGTCTCTGGCGGGACTGAGGGCACTGCGTCCAAGCCAGACGCGACCGAGGACGCTGCAATGATGCCGCCGCCGCAGCAGCTGCCAAAGCCTACGGGGTCGCTGCTGGGACTGGACGCCCTCGCCCGACAGAAGCGTCAGGCACAGGCACAGGCACAGGCACCACAGCAGCAGCAATCTCAAGCCCACCGTGCTTACGGCGATGGCGATGGCGATGGAACTGGCGATGGCAGCGACCAGCAACAGCAAGCCAAGCGAGCCAGGCTCGACGACGTCGTTGAGACTACGACCACCGCCACCACCGCGACGACGACGACGACGACGACTGGCGAGCGGGGTGCACCGCAGCGTCACTATCGTCTGCCGCAAGCTGAAACGCCGTCGCACCCGGGAGGCGTGAGCTCGATTGCGCGCGACCGGATGCACGAACGCCTCGACCGCGAGCGCGGGTCGGGTGGACTTGCTGTAGCCTCGTCGTCATCATCGTCAAGTCACTCGTCATCAAGTCACTCGTCAGCATCATCGTCATCGTCAAGCCACTCGTCGTCACGCCATCGCAGCGACGGGCATGATAGCAGCCGGAGATACGATGACAATCACTCGGATCGCAGCGCCCGACGAGAGCGCGACCATCGCGACTACCACCAACGAGACAGCGACCATCGAGACCGGAGTCGAGACTCGGATCGCAGTCGGGACGAGCGAGATGATCGTCGACGAGATGATAGAGATGATCGGCGACGAGATGACCGCTACGCTTCCTCCTCATCCTCTCGACGTGGCCACACTTCAAGCGTTGCCCGGATGCAAGTGGATTCAACGCCCCGTCCACGCTCGTACGAGCCGTCTGCTACACCATCACGCTCGTCGTGGGATGACAACGAGCACGGTGGCAGCAGCGCCAAGAGCACCAGCCGCTGGGACTCGGCGCCAACACCACGGAGCGATGATCACTCTCGTGGCTCATCTTCTAGCTGGACAACATCTCGTGCCCCGAGTACGCAACGCGGAGGGTTGACTGAGCGAAGTAGCAGCAGCAGCAGCAGCAGCAGCGGCAGCGGCTCGGCAACTTCCCGCGGCAACTCATCATCCTACCGATCTGGTCGCGATGACGCCCGCCAGACAGGCGGTGGAAAGTACCGTGACGAGAACGACACGAACGTGGACCGAGCATATGCTCAAGAAGACGGGTTTCAAGAGTGGGAGGATGAGCAAAAGAGGCTCGATCGCGCGTGGTATGACAACGAAGACGCCCTCGACACCGCCGACCACGATCCCTTTGATGTCTCTGAATCCTATGTGAAAAAGAAGGAGGCCGAATTGATCAATCGACAGCCCGTAAAGCGCATGTCGGCCTTGCAGCGCTCCATCAATGCGGACAACGAGCGCTGGGAGCGCGACCGAATGGTGACCAGCGGTGTGGCTGTGCGCACGGAGCTCAACCTGGACGAGCTGATGGAGGAGGACACGGAGGCGCGCGTGCATCTGCTCATTCACAATATCGTCCCGCCCTTCCTTGACGGTCGCTTTGATTTCACCAAGCAGCGCGAACCCATCATTCCGCTCAAAGATGCCACCTCTGACATGGCTCAAGTCTCCCGCAAAGGCAGCAAGGCCGTGCGAGAGTTTCGCGAGCGCAAGGAGCGACAGAGCGCGCAGGAAAAATCGTGGAACATTGCGGGCACGGCGCTGGGGAACTTGATGGGCGTGCGCAAGCCAATGCTGATGAGCTGGATCCTGACGCGGCCGCCATCGGCTTGCAGGCTGAAATCAATCGCGACATTGCTCCGACCGTTGCTGCTGCCGCGCGTTCCGGTATGAGTGTTGCCGATGGAGCCGCCGCCACCAACACGGCCATCGCTGGCGCGGCCATCCTGTCCGCACCGCGCTCGACAACCACCGAAAGCGGGACTGCGTCCGGCGCCACCTCCATGCTGGAAAGCGCCACCATGTCGAGCGAGGCGACCAGCGAGTTTGCGCGCACCAAGACCATCCGCGAGCAGCGGCAGTTCTTGCCCGTCTTTGCAGTCCGGGAACAGCTGATGCAAGTCATTCGCGACAATAGCATTGTGATTATTGTGGGTGAGACGGGCTCGGGCAAGACCACCCAGCTCACGCAGTACCTCTACGAGGCCGGGTTTGGCAAGCACGGGCGAATCGGGTGCACGCAGCCGCGCCGCGTGGCCGCCATGTCAGTTGCCAAGCGCGTGGCCGATGAGATGGGTGTCAAGATTGGCTCGACGGTCGGATACTCGATCCGCTTTGAAGATTGCACGTCGGACGAAACAGTCATCAAGTACATGACGGACGGTATTCTGCTCCGCGAATCGCTGCACGACAGCGACATGGAAAAGTACTCGGCCATCGTCATGGACGAGGCTCACGAGCGCGCTCTCAACACGGACGTGCTGTTTGGCATTTTGCGCAAAGTAATGTCGCGCCGCCGCGACCTCAAGCTGATTGTGACTTCAGCAACCATGGACTCGGAAAAGTTCTCGACCTTCTTTGGCAACGTTCCCGTCTTTACCATTCCTGGCCGTACGTTCCCCGTGGACGTGCTCTATTCCAAGTACCACTGCGAGGACTATGTCGAGGCCTCCGTCAAGCAGGCGTTATCGGTGCACTTGCAGCAGCCACCTGGGGACCTCCTCATCTTTATGACAGGCCAGGAAGACATTGAGGTCACGTGCGGCTTGCTTCAGGAGCGACTGAATGCTCTGGGCGAGGAGGCCCCGCCTTTGGCCATCCTGCCCATCTACTCGCAGCTGCCGAGCGATTTGCAGGCGAAAATCTTCCAAAAGACCGACAACCAGCAGCGCAAGTGCATTGTCGCCACAAACATTGCTGAAACGTCGCTCACTGTG